CATAGAGCGAAATTTCGATTAAACTACAACCGATGAGAGGTATGTTGTAACAAGCAGTACTGCACTACATGTAACAACAAGAAGTAATAGATAACGGGTAATGCACACACATAGATAAAGTAGTGAAGCCAATACACAGAACGGGTTAAATTGTTAACATGCTGATTGGATGCTAATTGATTAGTTGATTGATAGAGTATATAGCTTGAACTCTTCCCCGGCCGATGTTACGCAATCAGCTCGATATCTTTTCCTGGCCATAAGGCAATTAAGGTCTGTGCAATAAATAATAAGTTGTCTCACAGAAAGTTGTATGCTTTGTTATTTATTTACCAGTAATAGCGATCCAACAACATCAATTAATCAATATCTTGTCCTGTAAAATCGATTTTTGCGACATTGTACATATCATCAGATTTAATGTTTCTAAATGTATATCACAAAGTTTGTCTGGTCTCGAAGCTTGTATGATGTTGATACGTGTGGAGCTCTGTAGGATGGTTACCGAAGTGTCCGAATTTTCGATGTTATGGTATATGTCCTCTCTCTCTTGGGACCGCCTCCGTGGTGTAGTGGTTAGAGCGTCCGCCCGGAGAGCGGAAGGTTGCGGGTTCGATCCCCGACCGCGTCATACCAAAAGACGTTAAAATATGGTACTTGTTGGTCCCTGCCAGGGGCTCGGCATTAATGGGTACATCAAGGACTGGTCGGCTCAGAGTCAGTATAATGTGTCTGAGTGGGGTATTCATGCTTCACTGTGGCATGGTATCTCAGTGGGCTAGCACTATAAAAACAGCTAAGTCTGGGCTAGTACAAGCAGCCGCACATACACATACCGGTACACACACATGCACGTCGTCATATGAGCGAAATACTCTCAAGCACGACGTAAAACCCAATTTCACCTCACCTCACCTCACCTCACCTCACCCTCTCTCTCTTGACGGAAATCATGACAGTCAAAACGACAATAAAATGAATTCAATTCTTCTGCAAAGATTTTGTTGTCTGTTGTAACAATGTCCTCACGATGCTTTGTATTGCCAATCATTGTCTTGATCCTCTGCCATGTTTGTTTCAGATTGCACTGTTCCACCTTTTCTTTTTTTGGTATATTGAAAGATCTTTACATTTCTAAATATCCTAACGAAGGGTTACAGACTGCCACTCCAAGGGGTCACCGCACCGTGTTTCAAATCACATTGTTAGACAAGTTAGTGATAGAGTTTTAAGTCCCTCACCCGAGACGCCAGCATTTTACTGAGACCTTCTCTGCATGATCTTCATCTAGTATGTCTACAACACTTACTACTCAGGAAGTGTATCAAACCAGGGAATATTTTATCATGATCTTCAAGACGCTTACCTACTGTTCTATCCAAGTTATCAAAAATGTCTTTGCTTCATTTTCCATGGAAGATGCTCAGGCTCTTACTCTCAGTGGACAATTGCAGCTGTGACCACTGCAAATGTTCTTACATCTGTTTCTGCAGATTGACGATCCACTCTCCAAGATTTGTCTGCCATCATCTCTTTATCGGTACGTTTAGTGGTCAAACTTTTGTGACAGTGTCTTCTTAACTCTGTTCATAGCTACACCCAATCTCTTTGATGCATCTCTGAAGGTTTGGATTGCTCAGCTTCACAATCAGTGAGAGGCAGTGCTGTGCACGTGGTCAATCGCCAATCAATCCACCACATCAGTGACTTGGAATTCAGAGAGGCGATCCTAGCAGTATCCCATTGGTTCGACATTCAACCAATCCATTGATTCAATTGGACAAAAGTAGTCGGGTAGACAATCCAATATTCTTTCAACTGATTGTCACTCTTCTATGAACGTCAGAACCAGACACATTTCAGGAGTACAGAATGTCATCACCGATGCTCTGGCGATATCCTAGGTGGGCAAGTTCTACACAAGCTGAAGTCGAAAAAGAAGATTCATCTGATGCTGGTTGGACCATTTTGGTCTTTGAGAAGTTGGTTCATACCACCAAAAGATAACTTGCTGATCCACCTACACTCCGACCAACTATATTGGTCAACAGAGACATTACTTAACGCCTATCGCATCTTCATGGATCTCTTATGGACAAAGATTTCACTTAGAGAGTTGCTAAAGTAATTGCACCTGCTTATTGTACATCCACTTGTTCCCTGTACGATAACAAGTGGAAAATATTTGGAGAATATTGCAAATTGCATGGTGTTTGTTCCTGTACTACTGCTTTAGCACAGACAGCTGGTGAGAATCTACAGCATCAAGGAAAATGAAAGGCTTCCACTACCTTTACTTATCTCGCAGCTATCAACTTTGTTGTTGCCATTGCTACAGATAACAAGATTTCAGTTTCCAAAACCTAAATCCCTCCTTTGATCCTATAAATTGTCTGATGATCAGTCACAGAAGTTTTACCGCCAGCCTGGAATCTGTTGTGGTTCTTAGGCAATGATGGTGGTTAGCTAAACCAAGTTCTTCATGGATCACCATTGGCACCTCATCGCCATGAACCAACTGCCTTGTCAACCGGACAAATGGTCCGCTATTCCATCCTTGAGCCTGACAATGTTGGGAATCTTTCACTCTGCTCTGTTAGGTCTCTAAAGACCTATATCAACACCTTGCAAGAAAGTTGAAGATTTCGGAAGCGGCTTTCTATTTTGAAGTCTCCAGATGCACTCAGTTATCCTCAGAGCCTCGAGTCCCCACAAAGCAGTAGCAGTGGCATTGACTTTGGATGCATGTGTTTGGTGATCAGAGACAAGTCTTCAATTCACTCTATCTACATGTCCTGTTTCAGCAGCTACCTACTGCCTGTCAACGCAGATAGGATGTCTATACCCAAGAAACTACCACAAGGGATTCGATTTTGTAATTAAAGAGTAAACTCTTTTAATCTTCGATTGACTTCTCACTTATTCTTTATTGTGGGCTTACTAGTGGTCAACCTCCCAAGGTGACTGGCTGATTTGTGTAAGTACAGCCATCACAAAGGCAAAATCACAAGGCTATGTTGTGGCATTAACCCACTGTATCCATATACTCACTAACCTGTGCTGACATAAGCAATGACATGAGTAGAGTTAAATTTAATGAATCCCTTGTATTGGAATTTCTAAATGTTACATTCCTTGACTATTGATGGCCATGAAGGAAAATATATAGGAGGGAAAAATTGGCCACTGATGGGAAAGGTTCAGAGCATTAAGGAGAGATTATAAAACTATTCAGCCTTTCAGCTGTTTCTGAGTTTGTGGGGGGCATATTGAAGAACTTGCTGTCCAGGACTGGGGACCGAAAGGGCTTTAGATTTTGGGGCCAGTTTGAATGGCCGAGCAGGTTCCCTGTTAGCTTTTCATTGTCTTTTGACAAGGATATGGCAAGAAATCTTGTTACTCAGGATAACCCCTTGGAGTTCATGGAAAGTATTGCTTATGGATTGCAGGATACCAGGGACCCGTGAAGATATAGCTGACATATTGCTGAGTGCGGCGTAAAACTAAACTCACTCACTCACTCAGGATACCAGGTCAGACTCCTTGTGAGCAAGTCATCTCTTTGGGGAAATCTGCAACCCACCATGCAGTCATGGGATAAGTGCATCACATGAGATAGGATAAAAACAAAAATTTGAAGGTTGCAGGCCTTGGAGGTTGCCATGATTAGAGGACAACTAGGGAAAACCTTTCCTGTTGTAACTCACTTTGAGAAAGTCATTGTGAGCATTTCATAGGTCTTTGTCAATGTGTAACAGTCCATTAACAATAAAGGAAAACCTCTCCTTCAAAAACCCTTATTTAACATATCTCCGGGAGACGGGAACAACAAAATAAACTCATTTTGAAAGCTCAAGAAGGCCACTGCAGCAATTGTGTGTTGCATCATGCAAACACTGTAAATACTCCACTGATCGTATGTCTTTATGATAAAGTTGTCTTTATAAGTTAAATTAGTACGATGTTCCAGTGTTCATGTGATTAATCAAGAAAACACTGTGATCGCAGGGAGCCACTGATTGCCCAGAGACCATGGTATTGCAAAGCGCACTATTGCAAGGGATGTTTGTATTATCCATAACCTTCCAAAGTCCTGATTCGGCTGTATTTGGAGATTTGTGTTTCCCTCATGGGATAGTGACAAGTGTCTACAATTGAACTGTTGAGTCAGATTTGTTTTTGGCTTTGTCTAACAGAAAAGAAAAGAAATAACAGAAACAGTGAACAGAAAAACTTAGCATGTAATAATCTAAATAATTTTTATATTACTAAGGTAAACAGACATTCTGTTGTGCCACTTTACCTGATGCCTGACCAAGTTGATCATGATGGCACAGATGGCACTTGTAAGGATTGACATACTGTGGCCAAAACGTTATCACGTTAAACAAATGCCACCTCTGTAACATAAGGAATACACCAAACAATCTTCTCAACTAATCTGCATCTGGATGGAATGGATGTTAGACTAAGTGAAGTTTTCCGCTCATGCATGTACAAGAGGTCTGGTTATATTGTGGATATCATGCTTGATCAAGGAAGTAATTTCAGTGTCCTAATTTGATCCTAACTTTTAACAAGTAAACCCCATCGTCTATAATTAATAAGCCAGTGTTTCTCTGATATCATTTATGCACCTATCATCCTATCAAGGTTAGCCCAGGATCCATATTCACACTTGTAATTACCACCCCAAAATCAACCGATGTTACTCTAATGGGACTTTTGTGTATCATCTGTCAGGTTTGAATTTTCAGGTATTGGGTTGTGGTAGGAATGTATTCCACGGACTAAAGTCAACCTAAGGACATTGCAAAGGAATGATAATGATTTCTGAAAGTGACAGCTAAGGATCTGTGTTATTGCAAATGCTAGCAAAGTAATAGTATAGAGAAATAAATTATAATAGATTAAGCGAATATACAAATTTCAGTTAAGTTCAACCCACATGTGTTTATTTTGTATAAACCTCTTATTCACATATGTTAAATTACTTGCAGGAAGAAGATTTCATTATACCTACTTTGACAAAAGCTGTGGAGAAATTTGTCAATCAATAGCTGCTCTTGACAGAAAGGTAAGTTCAATAATGGGCTAGTGATTCTCTGCCAGTATGTTTCTTTTCTTGTAAGTTTATAAAAACACCAAATTTGAGCATATTGACATTTTTGCTGGTTGTATGGTAAGTGGCATTATCAGAGATTACATGCTTTCACCTTCGCATCAAGCCATTGCCCAGACATTTTGTGCTCAGCTGACTGAAAGCCAAGAAAGTCGTGCCATCGTTGTTCGCCAGAAGCTGCTGGATCAGTGAAGTTAGACTTGGAATGCTTTTTCTCATTTTTAAGTTGCACTTTATGAATATATGACAAGATCTGTAAAGGCAGGTAGTCTGAGTGCTACTGTTGCCCCTGTGTGTTTATGTGATTTGACAACATCAACCCAAGATATAGTTGGATTTTCACTTCATGATTTGACATTCGTGGTAGCAGTTGGTCAGTTTCATAATGAACACATAAGGACATGTGAGAGTGTAACTTTGACAATATATCATGACCTTGTGCTCTGCCAGTTTTCTGAACAGAAGCCTCTCTCAACAGCTTGCCCAAACAGACTCCAATTGCTTATCAATTAGCAACACTCTTCTACAATATGTATTCTTTAATTGTGCTGGAGTCATATTGCATTCCAGTTTGCTTTTTAACTGATTTGTAGCTTCTAAAGCATCGGGTATTTTTAAATTGGCTTTCATTTAGTTACAGGTAAAAGTCGCTATTCAGGTAATCAAAAATAGATATACCAGTAGTAAGGTATCTGTTTCTTAATCACCCTCTTGAGCTGAGGGATTGCTGAGTGGTTAAGTTTCTCTCAGTTACTGTCATTGATGTTATGCCAAGAAATCAATGAATGCTACAGGGCCCAAAGTGCGTTGTTTGTGTTTTTAAAATTTGAAAACAAGGGTTTAGTTTTTGAGTATCATATTTTATTTTTTATGTCTCACTTAATAATTTCGGACCCGTGAAGAAGGTTAGAATTGATCTTCAGTAACCCATGCTTGTCGTAAGAGGCGACTAACAGGATCAGGTGGTCAGGCTCACTGTCTTGGTTGCCAAATGTCATCGAATCCCAGGTGCATTGATCGATGTTCATGCTGATGATCACTGGATTGTCTGGTCCAGACTCGATTAATTACAGACCACTGCCATATAGCTGGAATATTGCTGAGTGCGGCGTAAAACTCAACTCACTCACTAATAATTTCTCTTCCTTCAACAGGGAATGAACATCATTGAAAGTATGCAACCAGCTAAATTTACCCAGTACCTTGCAGAATATCAGAATACAATTTGTGGTCGTCACCCGATTGGAGTTCTTCTCAATGTAAGTATTTTTAGCAATCTTTTTTTTTAGGAAAGGATGTGTAGTACCATTATCAAAATTTGTTTTTCTTGTTGGGTAAGCTGTGTAGCTTTGTGCTCGATGGTACGTCCATTGGTTGTCTTCTCCTAACTACTCAATATTCAGTATCTCAAAAGTAGGTTTTTGAGCTCCCCTGAGAAACCGTTTGGCCAATTAATCAGAAACTTGATGCTGACCCTTGAACTTTGATATATAGCATGTATGTGTTGTGTTGTCAGCCATGCCTACTAGCGGTAGGCAAACTACAGGGACTAGGCAGCAAGGTATATACTGTCCTTGATGGGCTTCTTTGCACTATGTAAAAGAAAGGCATGAAACGTGGTCAACAAACTAAGTTCGTTTCGTTATGAATTACACAATGCTCCCAGTATATACTGCTAACAAACTGTGCATGCATTTCACGCCAATAGATTTACCTACAAAATGAGACATAGATTACAAAATTCAAATCTGTTCTTTGGGAGCTGTCATGATTTTTTCAATTATGAGCCAAATCACTGCCCAGATTATGTATCGCTAACCTACTGAATTTCTTGTTTAATGCACACCAAAACATGCTGAATGTATGGCATCTGTCAGCATTGTACTCACCGTTCTTTCCGAGACACTTATACAACACTGCCATAATGAATCGGCATACATTTATTAGTTGCAACATGCCTGTGTCATGCCCATTGTGCAGGAACTGTGATTGGGGCCTAAGTGGTGACTATGTTTTGAAAACCCCTCCGTCACTGCCACCTACTTTCAATACTGTGCTGTTTCCCTCCTGCTCAAACAATGTCATCTGTTGTGCTTAAAACAATGTATGCAATGATCCTCTCTTCTCCCAAATCCCATCGATCAATGACTTGAGTGTTGTTGTGGTAAATTTTAAAGAACTGGAGATGAATATATATATACGCTGAGTATAGGTGCCGATTTTAATAGGTCAGCCACTGGGATTCATCACATGCCGTCTAGAGGATGTGAAAGTCAAATTTTTAACTAATCCTGCAGGACTTACTTCCTGTACTTATTGCTTATGACTCGAAACGTGGCTGTGCCAGACGATTGATGTTGAAAAGCGTAGACTGATCACTTCCTGGTCTCGGATAAACATCAGTCTGTGCACGCATCACCGGAAGGTGACATCAGCCACATCAGATTATTGCTTTTCGCTCGCCTGGCAAGACATGTTTTTGTCAGTATTTTGTGAGACGTTTGTTCTCAATTGTGTTGTTATACCCCGTTACTATTATATTGTTTCACCGTGTGTTCCCCATTACTATTGTAATGTTTTTTCACTGTGTGTTTGCTTGGGGTTCTGCTGTATTGCAGTTTCTATACGGCACATGATTTATAGTTTGTAAAGCTGGGGGTGCCCTCATTCGCACTGTTTGCATTGCACTTTTCCGTATTTTTCCCCTGTCTATGAATGAATGTGCTAGTTGCGCTTACTTAATCATCTTCACACCTTTTTTTTCTGTCCAACTCTGACGTCTCCTGTAACAAGCATCCAGATGTCGACACCACTGATGTCCACTAGCTCTAGGGCATCTGGCACTCTGTCTCCATTCTCCAGGTTGCCATTTCCAGCATTTCCCTGGCAGACGTCTTACTCCTCACACCTCAGATGCATGCGCCACACGTTCAGCAGTCACTGGATGTTTCGACACCCATTACTCACTTGACCTAGTTAGCAGGGCAGTCTGGTACAACAGCGCCTCTGCTGCTCATCACTGCAGCGCCTATAGCTTCGGCGCATCTACCACATCGACTACGACTTCAGAGTTCAGTAGTTGGTGTCAGCGCCTCTGTCGCCAACACCTACCTGTTCCAGCGTCGTTCCTGACTACAGCGAATATATAGTGCATCTACCAGATCCAGCACCTATACAGCGCTTCCACCAGATCTCGGGCCTATACAGCACCACTACCAGATCTCGGGCCTATACAGCACCACTACCCGATCCCGGGCCTATACGGCACCTCAACCAGACAAAGACCCTATACCGCTCCTTTAACAGATCCAATGCCTGTACGGCACCTGTAAAACCATACTTATTCAAAGCGCCTGCACAGCGTTTCTACCAGATCCAGCGCCTATATCGCGCCTATAAAACTATACTCAACTCACTCACTCGAGCGCCTTTACCAGATCCAACGCCTATAACACCATACTCACTCACTCCAGCGCCTGTACGGCATTTCTACCAGGTCCAGCACCTGTATGACGACTCCACTATATCTAGTGCCTCCAGTGTTTAACATACTGCATCAGCGCCTCCTACATCTTCCGGGTTTCGGCAGCTGTTGGTTGCGCCACTATCTCTGATAGGCAAACGGAACAACATTGGCAAACGGACACATCTTGCCCTCGAAGACTTCGACTATTACAGCACCTCAGACCAGGCGTGGCGTTTACCCAATCCCTTGTCTTGAATTCATCAATAGGGCAGCCAAGGTGGATGAGGAAATTATGTGCGTGACAGTTTTCTTCATCCTTTGCGTCTTGCAAGGCGCGAGAATCACAAGGATGCTTCATCCTATCTCAAACTTGGCTTCGGCTGTTAACACTGTCACTCAAGACCTCACTGAGGTGAATCCATACAGAACCGATCACCTCTCTTCTGTGATGGCTTGGTAGTCGGGGATGAGAATTTCCGGGAATTTCATAAGGCCAAGGGTCATTTTTGTGAATCGTCTAAATCCGTTGACAATTGTATGAATGTGCTTCAGCAGATTTAAAGTTTTTTAATGGTTGCTGTGTTCATGCTTCGGCTAGTTTTCAGAGTTTTTCTCAAAACTTCATTCTCATCCCTGGGTAGTGGATGGTCCACACTGACCTTGGCGAACACTTACGGGCAGATCTCGTCAACGCATGTGTTATTTGAGGTCAAGAATTTCTCTCCCCTTTTCCGGTTGGGATTCAAACTTTCAGAGGAATCTATTTTGCCAACCCTAGTTCTTCACTACGATCTTTAATAACAAGTTCAAGGATGTCTATGGAACAGTGTGCGACTTAACTAAGAGGGAGATAGTGTTGATGCGCTTGTAGGCCTGGTTCCAAGGTTTACCTTCGGCAGAGAGTACCTGCGCTTTTACTTCAATTGCCCCATGGTTATTGACTCATATCATAGCACAGCAACAGTGATAATTTGGTGATTTAACGTGTGCTCTCTGCCATATTGCGTAATTTGCAATTTTTACAATTCGTCTTTATACTAGCTGGGTTGACTTGTCAACCAGGACATGTCGGACCATGTACCGTAACACTCTGACGTACATTGGAAGCCTCTTTCAAGCAGACGAGATCTTCATTCAGATTCCTCTCCACAGCTGGTAAAGGTTTTAGACCCTTATCCCACGTGCGCTGTCCGAACCGATGTTCATCTGGGATTGACAGGCAGACGTTTGTCAACGTGTCGGTGTCCCGTCTCACTTACGTCAGTGTTTTCCGTTTAGTGGACTCGCCCATAGAAATCATAGGTGGAGTCACCTTGACTGAGCGAATTCCGAACTACCTATATTTTCATCGGTGCCTCAATGCATAATAGAGGCGCCCACTTACTAGATCTGATAATCTCAGGGTTTCGGTCAAGAGATCAATAAGCAGTTTGGAGCTCAAAGCAGTGTTCCTCACCATCCGTCACTGGGTGCAATAGTTCCCGGGGCAACACGATTGTTATGTGATTTAACAAGAGTTTGACCGGGTTACTGTTTTCAGACGTTCTGTCTGTTTCCAGTAATAGCCAACACCCACATCCATCTGAGAACTCTACATCTTCGCCGATGCTATATCGGGATCTGACAGTGTCGCTTTCACAGAATGTATGCTACACAAAGAGATACTGGTTATATGTCTCCGTCTCCAGATTGTCAGCTGGGGCAGTGGTTGGCTGAAGCTTTTCCAGGGGGAGCTACACGCAAAATATGTTTCCTCCGGTCTTGCTTCCATATGTCTTAGGCACAATCAAGAAATAACAACTTGACTTCGACTAAATTTAGATGGGCCCAGATGATCAATTTTTAAGCAGTCTAGTGTCAAGAGCTCACCTACAACTAGCCAGATAGGGAAACATCCTAGTGCATCCTTATTTCACCCCAGAACGGTTCAATTAACACACTGCATCTGCTGGCAGCATTATGCGCGCCAACTGATTTTCAGCCATTGCTCCTGCACATTGGAGTCCCATTAGGCACATAAAAGGAGCAGTCGTTCGAGCAGTTGGGTTGCCAAGAAGCAGGATCCGCTGAATGTATCTTTCCCCCCAGTTCTAGCAGGAAGTGATCACAGTCTCCGTTTTCAACATCAATCGTCTGGCACAGCCATGTTTCCAGTCCTAAGCAATAAGTGTAGGAAGTAAGTAGTGCAGGATAAGTATACAAATATACTAAGCAGCAAAAGAAGCGTCAGTTTGGAATTTTCCTTCACAGAAATGGGTAACTGTAAACTCATTTAATGTTTTGATTGCTCAAGTAAAGTTGGAGATGTCAAAAATATACAAAGACATTCCTTCCCAAACTAAGAATGGAACCCAAGAAATGGTCCCAAAAACGCAACCTGATCTCCATGTTTTTCATGCTACTCTTGCTGCACATGCTGTTCGCAAGGACCAGCCCTATAAAATGCACCCTCAAACCTGGTTGAAACATTCACATTACAACGTGAGCAGGATGCCGCGAGTCAAGAGGAACCAGGCGCAAGGAAGACTTGAAGCTGGCCACACTGCACAAGCCGTTGCCAATCACTTCCAGGTCAATGTTCGGATCATCTACAGGCTGCAGCAACATTTCCGGGCCAACACCACAAATGATTGCCCCCGTACTGGCAGACCAAGGGTGACCACAAGACGACAAGACCGCCATGTTGTGCGACAGCATGTACAGAATCAGCATCCAAAACAGCACGCCAGACAGTGGGAACACACGGAAGACCAATCAGTACTGATACAGTACGCCGACGTCTTAACAGGGGGAACCTCCATTGCCGTAGACCTTACCTTGGACCTATCCTCACCCCTCGTCATCGGCGTGAATGTCTACAGTTTGCCCTACATCACCAATACTGGCGATACAGGCAATGGAGAACTGTTCTGTTCACAGATGAGAGTCGGTAATGCATATCAACTGCAGATGACAGAACAAGAATATGGCGACGACATGGCCAGCGTTACTCAGACCAATGTGTTATTGAAAGAGACTTATGGGGAGGTGCAAGCGTCATGGTATGGGGTGGAATAGGCCTGAACCAGAGAGTGGGTCCTGTGGTGCTCCAGAACCTTGGTCCAGGGAGAGGAGGTGGCATCACAGCGGTGCTCTACATCGACCAAGCTCTCAGACCCCACGTCATACCACATTTTGCATGTCACCGGAACAACATTTTCCAGCATGATAACGCTTGGGCCCATACTGCCAGAGCTACACGGGACTTCCTACAGCAGAACGGTGTCAACATTATGCCAGCCCTTAGTCCTGATTTAAACCCAATTGAACATCTTTGGGATGAAATTCAGAGGAGACTGAATAATGTCATACCAAGGCCGAACACAGCCGATTTATTGCGCCAGGCCTTTCTCAGAGTGTGGTTCCAGGTGCCAATGGCCTTCATCAATCGATTGGTGCACTCCATGCAGTTACTGCCGCTCGTGGTGGTCACACTAGATACATAAGTCAAGGGTCTGAATGGACGGCAAACATTCACGTAATGTCTTGAAATTGTGCTTAGTTATTCATTGATGTGTCAAGATAATATTATTATGTCCATTTCTGTAATGATTTCATTACAGTGCCTATCTAATTTTGAATTCGTACTGAAGGTTTTTTTTGCTGCTGAGTATATAAAAAATATTCAGATTTTACTAATAAAGTTCATACCACTGCAGCGGTGTGCCAGTTACTGTATTTCAATTCTTTTGGAGTCCTGTAATCTTGTGTGACTTAGTCTTAACTCACTCACACCATACATTTTAATCCTGCTCAGTTTATGATGACATTTGTTTTCTTCTTTTCAGGCAATAGAGACTGTGCGAAGAAATGGAAATGGATACAACTTGAACATGAAGTTTTTGAAGTATGCTCAGTCAAGTGAATGCACAAGTGCCAGTGACTCATCTGTTAGTTATGCAGCTGGAGTATTGTTTATTGAGTGATAATTGATGTGGAGTTCCACTGACACAATAGTGGAACCTGTTTGTGCTGTACTTGTGTTATAATCCACCCATGCTGCTTTATATTGACTTTAAACTTGGTCATTATGGATCTATCTTTCCTTCTGTGATTATCACTCAGACATTTCAGGCATAATCTGAGATTCAGGTTTCCTGCCGGTACCATCTATACCTGCCAGTCAGTAATTCAATTCACCGTCCATGGGTTAGCTCACTATAGCTGTTAACATTTGCTTTTCCTACACAAATGTTTAAATACTGTGAATCATGAAATAAATTCCAGCAGGAAATGCATTTAAGAATTGTATGGATTTTATACATCATACTAGTTTCATCATCTTCGCCTAGCTAGTTTATTTTGATATTCCAGAACCTTAGAGAAGACCTGAAAAAAATTATCCAACATATGCCTTGATGCCTTGTGATATGGTTTCCCTCTATCTGGTTTTGATTTGGCTTTGTTGCAGTAAGATGTAGTTCGAGTCGGGTTTATCTGGAATCGAGTCCATTTTCTAGGACTTGCTCAATATTAATCAAGCAATCATCGTATGCAATGTCATGCCAGTTATGCTATGGTTTGCTTGAAAGGTATGACTCTCGAGTACAGGGGTCAGAGTTGAGTCTGACCCCTCGAGTCCAAGAAAATTGACTCACTAAAGCCTGGGGTCTGTTCTTCACCTTGAGGACCTTGCCACCATGTATACCATGTTCAGTAGCCTACTGTTCACAATAGTTCCTTCACTGACCAAAATTATTCCAGTGGTGTGGATTGTTGTGCTTCTGGGCGTTCCTCACACTGACATGCTGAGATTAACTGGAATACTGTAAATTCTCACTCACCAGTCCAGACTCGGTTGGGGAATTATTAACTGTAAGCATCAATCACTAACTCCCACATTATGATACACATCTTGGTGTTCACGTTTCAGGGAATCAAAACATTCAAGTGTTTGCAGCTCTACTTTTGTTGTCACAGACCAAAGGATTATATGTCACATCATTTAACAGTGATGGGTCTGATTTACTTTCGCATTCATATACAAAATATTCAGTGTGGCTGTTTGTGTTTCCATTTGATGCACAAAACAAATTGCCTTCAAGCAGCTCCACATATGAATCAAGTAAACTATTCACTCATAGCTGAGACCTGGTGAGTAAAGGGGCATTGCACTATTTTTGAGCTGACCATATAATGTATGTGCATGGTGCATTGTACATTGACATGTAATCACACTTTGGATTTAATTTAAATCCACTTAAGTAAATATGTATGTACAATTTTTATCCCCCCGGCATATAATGCAGGGGGGATATAGTCGACGCCTTGTCCATCTGTCTGTGCGTAATAAGTAACTCAAAAACCGTTAAATATCTTTCTACAAGACTTGGTAGACATATCAAACAGAAGCTAAAGTGGTGCCTTTTGCTATTTGCAGGTTTTTGTAATTTTATTTTTTTTCTTGTTTTCCATGGAAAGATTTTGGACTCATTATCCTCATATTGACAACCCTTCAGTTTTTGAGGCAGCTAAAGTATGCTGAAAAACTTCACTATGAATAGAAATGTGTAGAATTTCAGAAAAAACTTCATATACTTTCATTACGCAATATACCGGTTCTTAGAAAAAAAACATTGCAATAATTCGAAAGGTATTCCGCTAATACTTTGACAAGAGCTCCCTATTTAGCATTTTTCATATCAGGTCTGATGTGGGAAAGGTATTTCATGGTTTGTAATATGCACATGGAAGCATTTTCATGAAGAGTGTAAATTTGAAAAGATGAAAACAGAAAAAATAATTGTTCGATTATGATGATTTATCCATTGATCAACTGAAGTTAATGAAATCACAAAAATAACCTTTATTAGATTTTTTAAAAATGTCCTTACTGTAACCACCATTAAAAGCAAATACAAATTCATTTTCAAATCTATATTTTTGCACAAAGATAACAAATTGAAAAAAATAAATGATTGGTTAAAAATATTTAAAATTACCTTTGAGAGTCACAATTCATATCTGGTTAAATAAATGAAAGTAAGTTTTAAAAATATTTCACATTCGTTTTTAAAATGTAAGAAACATTTTGAACAATAGTCATGGATATTGACAGTAACAGTAAGTACATTAAAGTAAATATTTTCAAATGGATCAGAAGGACAAAATATTATAAATAAATGTTTGTTGGTTACAATTTTCCAAAGTAACAGTATGGACATAAGTGATGCTCGTATTGACATCTATGACATTTAATAGGATATGTGATACTGGAAATATATTTTTACTTCTATCCCTTCACAACTTATAAAATGAATGAAAATTTGGATTAAAGTTGAAATATTTTTGCAATGAAAAAACATGAATACAGAATGACAAATATCAGTAATTTGAATATAAATATCTATGGATTTTGAATAATTTTGTCCATATTGTTACTTTTTTGTGTCCATACTGTTACCAAACATTAAGTTGGATTGAAGTTGATATTTTTTTACTAAACAAAAAGCATGAATAAAGAATATAACAAATCTGCATTTTAAATGTGAGTGAGTTTAGTTTTATGCCCCACTCAGCAATATTCCAGCTTTATGGTGGCGGTCTGTAAATAATCAAGTCTGGACCAGACAATCCAGTGATCAACAGCATGAGCATGGATCTGCGTAATTGGGACCCGATGACATGTGTCAACCAAGTCAGCGAGCCTGACCACCCGATCCCATTAGTTGCCTCTTACAACAAGCCAACCTTCTAACCCGGACCTTCACGGGTATATAATTGATTTTGAATAAATTTGTCCATACTGTTAACGACACCATATGTAATTTAATGACATATAAAAGTTTATATAAAGGATCATACACAGCTTGAAAAATAAACGATAGCAAATATTGTCAGTTTCAATCTTTTTTGGGGGGTAGAAATTTGTCCATACTGTTACCAATAAAAAATATTTCAAGTGTTTATTCTGAGTAACATAACTGAAGGATTCAGTTAAGATCCTTTTTAGAAAAAACAAATGTCCATACTGTTACTGAAGTTGTCCTTACTGTTACTTGTTTATATGGTAACAGTAAGGACAATTCTTAAAGGTCACATGCAACGTAAAACACAGTTTTGCAGATTCTGATTTGTTTCGGTATCAAATCATCAAAAATGCCAATTCAACTTATAAAGTTGAAAAATAACGCGATGAAAAAAACCGTGCGCTAAATCGTAGTTCAAACGATTCACTAATTTTCCCCCAGAGCTTGGGGGAATTGAAGTGGTTTCAACAGCTGGGCTGCGCTCATAGCACATGCGCAGTGAAATAGGTTCGCGCAACTTGGAAGCGGGTTGTCCAGTGAATACTCGGTGGTGGCTTTGGTGTGAGCTATTTTTCTAATGTTTTGTTGATATTTCACAGGCGTGAGCTTTTTATATGTTATGACAGTAGATTACCTATTTAACTGTTTATATGATTTCATTTGTCTATTTCACCACACGGTCTTCTTACCAAGTCACTTTCTCAGTTCGATACTTGAAAGCAATATTTGTACTCTTTTAATCATTACATATGAAAGATTTGTGGTTAGTCTTATGCGAAACACCAATTTCATTCATAAAAAACTTGTGGTTAATTAATACCGAGCGATTAAAAGTTGCCAAAAAGTCACCTGCTTCACTCTCGACCGCCAATGAAACCACAGACAGGTTACGTAACTCTGTCGCCAGAGCACTGCAGTCATGCCATGTGAGGAAGGATTTTCAGTTAGTTGAATATATGAAAGTCTGTAGCAAGCTCGTCATTTTGATGATCAACGAAGACATGCTGAATCGTTGCGTTGCCGTCAATTCCTCCTAGGGGTCGGGCGATGGTGTCACCATGCACAGATTTCCACAGGACCCCGCAGTTCGTGCTAAATGGGTTATGTTTGTGAGTGCGAGGCGAGCGTTGTGGAAGCCTGAAACGATATCTTGTGTTCAGATCGCTTCACGGAAGTTAAAGAATCAAAACTACTTACTAGTTGTAGTAAAATATGTATATGATTGATGACCATAAAGATTTTCCATGACACAACTTGTAACATAACGATTTCTTCCTCGGAAACGAGGTTGTGGTCGAAGTAACAATAATATTGTAAGTAGTATTATATGACGACGTGCATGCGTGTGTATGTGTATGTGCGGCTGCTTGTACTAGCCCAGACTGAAGCTGGTTTTATAGTGCTAGCCCACTGTGATACCATGCCGCAGTGAAGCATGAATACCCCACTCAGACACATTATACTGACTTCGAGCCGACCAGTCCTTGTTGTACCCATTAATGCCGAGTGCCAGGCAGGGACCAACAAGTACCATATTTTAATGTCTTTTGGTATGACACGGTCGGGGATCGAACCTGCGACCTTCCACTCTCCGGGCGGACGCTCTAACCACTACACCACGGAGGCGGTCTTCGTTTCCACTAGAGAAATTGTTATGTTATAAGCTATGTCATGCAAAATCCTATTGGCCATCAATCAAATACATAATTTACTACCAGTAGAAAGTAGTTTTGATTTTGTAACTCGGTGAAAACAAACTTAAATAGCATTTATCCTCAGACTGGCGGATGTTCGCGACAGGGCGCCGCCATTTTTGAAAATCATAAAGTCGCGGTCTGTTAGAATTAATGAGATTATGGTTTGTTTTCATCAAGTTAGAAATTCAACAGTACTTTCTACTCGTAGTTACGTATGTATTTGAATCATGACCAAAAGGATGTTGCATGACACAACTTATAACATAACGATTTCTTCCACGGAAGCGAGGTGGGGGTCGAAGTGAGAATACTGCGCGATAAATTTCTTGCTACATTCACCAGATACTAGTCAATGTATGTCTTTATATTTGGTCTTATAATCCTAATTAGTTTATTATCATACTTGTATGCATTTTGAAACTAAATAAAAAGCAGCTGATCTGCTTATACTTACAGTTAATTTATAACAGGACTGTAATATCTAGACATTTTATAGTTTGCCAATGTGAATCATAATTCGCACACACGCCCTAGTGTATGTTGTCTGTCTCATTACACTTCACAGCGAAAACAAAGATTCTGTTGAATGCTACGACAAATGAATAAAAACAAAATGCAAATTTTAAAATTAAAACAGATTAAAGTTATAGGAAAAATGTGAGGCTTGTTCGAGGATTGTATCCATCAATATCCACAAAAACGAGTGATATGTCATTCATCTGCAGCTGTTCCAAGTGATGTGTCTTTTAACAGTCTAATATACAAAAAAGTTTCAGGTATTTCACATTGGTGTATCTTGGTCACCCAAGATAGTACACCTGGCAACTAATTGCATAATGTCCGCCAACATTGAGCAATCAATGTATTGGCGGTTAATCCTTTGAAAGAAGGACATTGTTTTTACACAGACACAGACAGACACGACAGAATGTATTCAGTATAGATTAATCGGTTAATCCTTTGATCGATGTTTATAATGTACTTACTCCAGACACAAGAAATGCCAAATGGGAACCTTTGTCGGGTTACAACAAGGGAGTATTAATTGCTGTATTGCATGCAATTTTAACTGCATGTGAAAAGTTATGGGCCGACACTGTTTTGAGAATACGAACAGAACTTCATTGTTAATTGTTTGATGGGCATTCTAGAAGTTGGTGACTCAGAAATGAAACATACAACTTTATGGATGACAACTTCTTATTTATTGTTGCATAGGAAATACATATAAGCATTTGCTGTGTGCTAAAACTGTATGTACCTATTTACCTAAGTAAATTTTCAGATTCTTCTAGCAATGACAAATGGGTTGTTTAGTTTACGGATTTTTAATATCATACGTAATAGACGTCACACATGACACATGACACGATTAAATATCGAGGTAAAAAAAACACAGAAATGGATCAATTTGGATCAGTCATTATACCATGAAAATGCCCACACTGCTTTGATACTTCATTACAATCAGACATGAATTACCGGGGATATTTTCAAATAACTGCATCTGATGGGCATCCACCCTTCTTAATGTCGCAATGTTTAGGTTGAAGAAATTAACCGTAACCGTGATAAGCGAGGCTGATCATCGTTTTCACTATCACTAGCATCTGGCTCGAAACAAATAAGGCCTAGCGACACCAAGCGATTTTGACAGAATGGTCTATAAAAACAAGTTGTAACTGGGAAAAGCAGGAGACAAAATTAAATGACAGTAGATTGTGAGAACATATAGCTTTCATTTTTCACAACAGTTGTCACAATTTCAGGTTTATACAAACCTGTATTCAAGATAATTAACCCCTGAAATGTACATGAACTCTGCATCGGGCCTCATATGACATCACAGAGACGCGCCGCTCTGATTGGTTGAAATTTTGTTCGTGGGTGAGAATTGTGCACTGTTGTCAAAAAGCTCAAAGTGATTTATGTATTTGTACCCCCCTAGAGTATATGTGATCTTTAATGAATGCTTCATTCAAATCCCTAAAAGCACATGTTGATCGGGACATGGTAACAGTATGGACATATAAAATTAGAACAATCAACTTTTCACTTACTTGACATCAAAATGTGACTAAATGTTCAGAGGACCCAAAACATGCTGCATGCCATTTTAAAGGAGAGGAAATGGCTTTATTATGTGACCAAAGGAGGTATCATTTTTACATTGTTTCCTTTTGGTAACAGTTGGGACAAGCATAAATGGGGAAATATCTAAAAAATAAATTTCCAAGTTTGTTATATCAGTATATTTTTCACTTTATGGTTATTTAATCATTCAAGAAAACCTGCTTTTTGAAACAAGCAGTTTTCAGCAAAATGGCACCATAATACATCTCCAAAAAATTTTAAATATCAAACAAAATTGTTATTCTGCAATTTTAATATGTACTTTCAATGGTATTTTTAATTATCAAAACTTAATATAGTTAGAGAAATAGCAACACATGTAATTTTGTTATGATGGACAGAAAATTACACTGTTCGTGAAAATGACTGATGAATTTGTTGTGTACTAAAGTTGGGTAAATGTGTCACCACATTTACCTAAGAAGATTCTTAAATAATAGCACTGGCAAAATGTGGTTCATTTAGTGACCAGCTTAAATTGAGTCACATGTGTTTTCAATATCACAGGTCAGTGGACATGACATGATTAAATATGCACGTATAAAACAAAGAAATGGGATCCAAATCAATCTCACTCGTCACATAAACCCATGCACTGCTGAAAATCAGACTAGAACCATCAAGGATGTTTCAAAATAATGGCACCTGATGGGCATCAACATTCACCATTCTTTTTAAAAATCGGGGAAACTTTTCTTTGTTATATATGTACATATAATATATTAACATAAACACCGATGTCAAGCAAGTGATGTAAAATATTGAAGGAAAGTCTGTGTGTGTGTGTGTGTGTGTGTGTGTACATACACACACACACACACATACATACATACATTAATAATGTTTGTACAATTTGCTTCTTGTAGTTTCCTGATCTTGTTCTTTGGAACAGCATCAACGTACTCATCAGCAATCACACTCACAAGAAGATTAGGAAGCTACTAGAAGCCATTCATCAAGATACTATCACATCCCTACAACCTACCATCAACTCATCACTGAGCTACCTTCTTCCTGTTATCACACCACTGGCATTCCCCCTTAACCCCTTCCTTGTTAATTCTGCTTGTGTAACAATTATCTTTATTGTCTAAACATTTTGTACATCATCTACTGTGAAGTGCTTGAAAGGCATTTAGAAGTTAGACGAATATGAGTACTTGACACATTTTTATGGATAACTTTTTTGTTGTTCTTTTTAAAAATTGAGAGAGCAATACTCAGCTCTGAAATGTCATACAAAGTATAACAAGTTCATATCTACTGTGTAAACATCAATCAACTTTCAGGCATTATTGTACATCACTTGCTTGATAATGGGGTTAACACCTACATGGAAACATTGTGAAAATGATATGGATATACAACAACAACAAGTTTAATGGACATACAGTATACACACAGTTTGTTTCAACAAACCTTTCTTCAGATTTACATTTAGGTGAATGCATGACACAACTCGTCGCCACTTACATGAATGCATATCATACACGACTATAGTTATGTATTAAAATTCAATACAAAATCCTCCTCTATTCTTACATATGATTAGCGCAGGTAAAGTGTTTGTGAGTCACAAGTTGATAATATCTGAATACTGTTAAACTGCATGAATGTTCACCTTTGCATCACCTTGAATCCACATGTATTCTTCATATCTACTTCTTGAAAGCAAACATGCGAAACATTTCTTTGAGATTTGTCTGTTTGACATTCTTGGAGTTCTTCAACAAGCCTGATACTCGACAGTCCTTTTGAACTGCAAATATAAAATCCAGTTTTAGCTTAATAATTTGTAATAAACCTTGTAATCCAAACTCAACTACCACTATGACAGTTCAATGAAGTGAGTACGAAAACCTATATTTGAAAATAACTTTGTTAAATACAAGTTTTAAATTGTGGCAGATACATCAAACCTGTGTTCAGCAAAACCATTTCCACCTAGATGCAGGCTTATTTTTGTGATATTGAAAACCATCAGTGACAGTCTAGTATCAACAACAAATTTAAACAATTCAAATTCAGGTAATCAGTAATCACCCACTGATGTGCAGCCTGATATGTCAGCCTTGTTGCACCCCTTAATTAGTGTATGATGAGTCAGATGCTGGCTAAAACATCTGCAGAACAACAAATATTTCTTGATTCAAAAAGAGGGAGAAAAATGCTACTTATGAGAAACTAGGAGCATGTTCAAAGTGCAACATTCTTATCACCACAACTTCAAATATTGCGACAAAACAACATGCCCCACTTCTGCAAATAGGTTTTTGAACATTAATATAAAAAAAGATCAATATCATCAGTGAAAACAACTTCGTCAGTGCCAACAGATGTTTCAAAACCTAGAAGCTAAAGGGAAGTAAAAAGTGGAGCACAAATCAATATCCCATAACATAACTTTGACAATAGATTGACAATATGTAAGGACACTAAACAAACTTTGCGAAGTGAGAAACCTCCTGTTGATTCAGCAGAGGACATTTTACAGAAAGTGAATGATTTGGTCTTTAAGCACTGCAATTCTTTTACATCAGCTATAGTTGAAAATAGTGTTGTATATTCACTTTCAGTGGATTACTCCAAATAGTGTATCTAGAGTTTTTTTTATTTATGTGTAAGTGCATTTGTTCTCCTGACTGAGTTTGGTTTTACGCCGCTTTTAGCAATATTCCAGCAACATCAAGGCGGGGGACACCAGAAATGGGCTTCACACATTGTACCCATGTGGGGATTTGAACCCGGGCCTTCGGCGTAACGAACCAACGCTTTAACCATTAGGCTACCCCACCGCCCTTGTTCTCCTGAAGGGACAAGAAAGAGTCCTGAAATATTGCAACAAACTATTAAACAGTTGTTATCCCTAAATGTAAACCTTTTTAGAATACTGTAAATCACGAAATTAATGCGAGCATTTTATTAATGCGAAAAATGCATCTGTACTCTACTCGCACTATTATAAAGACGCATTTCAGTCTGACCACGTCTACTTTTGAGAACTTAATAAAAGACAGAAAACGTAAATCTCTTGTCATCTTTATTGTCTTCAGGTTAGCAATCATCATAACAATACAGAATATAACAATTCAGACATCTCTCATAAAATTAATTGACAAATGAGCACTAATGCCCGTGACACTAATTGATATCCATTGAACTTCATTCATCGGCAAATTTTGTAACAATAGCGGAGGTGTTGACACTACACATATACCACACACCAATACAGGTCACTTCCTCATTACAGGTATCTCAAGTCCAGTATCACTGGTTACAATCACTAGTCATTGTTCAAAGTCACTCAAGCACATCAGCCAGGCCGGACATTCTCCAACCACGCAGGATCATTTCGCGATCTTTGCTCACCTTTGAAATCGCGGCTTCCATCCACCTGGCATGAAGAGGCTTCATTACGCTAATGCGTAAATCAACACCTGTGTCTTTCTTTGACTCAATCAAATTCTCCGACACTTTGTCGGCGTACCAGTTGATAAATTGGTCCTTCATGGCCAACTTGAAATCACCATTGACTGACAAGTCCATAGGTTGGAGCTCTCCTGTACATCCTCCGGGCACAAATCGCACTTCGAAATGTTTTTTCTTCAAGTGATCAAGGAAAGATGCACATCTATGGGCCGCAAATACATAAAAAATCAGTGATTTTTGTCTCGCACCAAATCCAAGTTGTTTTTTTAACTTTCTTCGTGTATGGAATCAACACATTATCCACAGAGGTAAGCTTGGTATCCTCAGTACTCCAGTGATTGGCCGAGTGAGTCACGTGCCACTCGTCTGGAAAGTTGTGATTGGTCTGGCACTTGTTTGTTGTACCTTGGTAGACGACCATGATCACATTCTGTTTGTATGATTTCATACCATCTTAAGCAATCCCTATTCACAAGAGAAAGAATGATTTTTATGGGGCACTTACTTTGTACATAAATCTTGGGTGTGTGGTGTCATTCACATTGTACATGCTCCTTCATAAAAATCATTATCATCATCTCCTTTCCTACCCCTTCCCCTAAATTATGAACCGTACTGGAAATCTTTAGTTTGTGATGTTAATATCCTTATCATATTGTAATACTTACGTTTATCACTTGATGGAGTGACCTTATTTGCTGACAACCTCTGAAAACAAAACAGACATGAACTCAGAGGTGCTGTGTTTTCTGTTTCAATTTGCATAACTCAAAACTCCATGAAGTCATGTGCATGGAACACTTAAAGCTAAATGGAAACATGAAATAAATGCCTTGATACACATGATTGTAGCAGGATATGGTTTAACTAAAAACATGTTTGCACTATATGCAAACCTTAAAGAGACACATCCTCATTATTTCCCACCAGGAATCAAACAATAGTTATCATTGTCAAGTATTCTAATAAATAATTAATTATTGTCTTCACACTTTCATCAACAATTCAGATTATATAACAGTAGTCCTTCACTTTCAACTATCCATAAACAGTTTTGAAAGTATAATAGACCCTTGCTCCCTAAGTATTTTGTGCATAAGTAAGGTGGGACTAGTTGTCTCAAAATATATAGGTGGCATGACCACCCGTAGATCGACAGGACTGGATTTTATTTGTAAATTGTTATGACATGCCATTTGCTTTCCAGTTTAATTCCCCTAAATGATTATCTTATCTCATCCCAACCCCAACCACAGTCTGCGACACCCGTCCTGGATTTGCTTTTGAGACGACCCCTCCTACCGGTTTCTATTTATAGTGATAGTGAGACTCCATAGTTTCCTTCATAGTTTCAGTATTATAGTTTTTATTTTTTTACGTCAGCTATCGTTTATAATGAAGCTAAGTTTAACTTCAAAATGGACATTTAAAACTTGTCCTTTGTAATATAACATCATCATAGACTAATTTGCATAAAGCCATGGCCTGTTCCAAATAAGTCGCTTTGGACTTAGAAAAAAACGCATTTCTCATTTCTACACTAATCCCTCCTCAGTAAAGTCCTTTTTCTACGTTTCCTATCTCCCTACCACTGAGACTGTACTTAGGCCGAACTTAGTTTAACAGATATTTCACACTTTCACATATTAACTACATAAATTGTAGATATCAATGTGAAAACACAGGGTTTTTTTCTATTTCCAACAGTACTTTAACTAGTCTCAGTAGCAGGAAGATAGGAAACGTAAAATAAGGACTTTACTGAGGAGAGATTAGTGCAGAAAGGAGTCCAAAGCGTCTTATTTGGAACAGACCAGGGCTTCATGCAAATTAGTGTGCGATGATATTGTATTACAAAGGATACTTTTTAAATGCCCATTTTGAAATTAGACTTAGCTTCATTATAAACAATAACTGACGTAAAAAATAGTATTTTTAATTCTGAAACTATTAAGGATGTAGCTACCATGGAGTCTCACTATCACTATAAAAACAAACAGGTAGCAGGGGTTGTCTCAAAAGCAAAACCATGACGGGTGTCACAGACGGTGGTTTGGGGTCGGGCTGGGGGATGGAGATATCAGCTAAGATAAGATAATCCTTTAGGGGAATTAAACTGGGCAAGTAACAATTTACAAATAATATCCAGTTCTGTCAATCTTCGGGTGGTCATGCCACCTATATATTTTGAGACATTTAATACGATGGCTGATTTAAGCTTTCCTATGGGTATCATACTATTTTACATATGTCAACGTAAAGTTTATGAAACAGACCGATGAATTGCAAATTTTATCATTGTACAAAATTGCCACATAAATATAAATAGTACACGTTTATCATTTACTAATACCCAACAGCTTTCTTATATGTGAACATTTTCTGGACTACACCAAAAAGGTGTTTAAGAAACTATCATCATTGAAAACGCAAAAGTTGTTATCTGTCGCAGCGGGGTGAAACCGCACAAACGGAACAGCCACTATCTAGTCGTGCACGGGATACACATGCCTGATGAAAAATGAAGTTGAATGCTGACGTGAAACAGTTGATGATTAAAGTGTACGATTTTTTCCGTGCTGAAGCCGAAAGGGGCAAACCATTTTATGCCATTAATAAATTCCGTAAGTGGGCAGCAAAAGCTTTAGGAGTATCAACAAGGGTACTGACAAATGTTCTGGAACACAAACATTGTGAGGGTGATGCGAAGCAGGTAGGGGTCGTGTCAAAATCACACAAATTAAAACATTTGGACAACTTTCAACAGATCCTTGTAAGGCAGTCTATCAACAAGCTCTATTCTGAAAACAAATACATGTCGCTAAAAATTTTAAAAAAGCATTTGAAGCAAGAACACAACCTCAGAGTACCAAAGTACACACTCTGGCGACTCTTACACTCTTTCGGGTATCGTTATAAGAAGATTTCAGGGGAGAATAGGTCAGTACTCTGTGAACGCCCTGATATCGTTCGCTTGAGAAATAATTTTCTCAGGGTTATAAAGAAGAAGCGCGAGGAAGGGTTCGAGGCAAAGTACTTGGACGAGTCCTGGGTCAATGCCTCGCACACTGCCAGCAGTCAGTGGGTACCCGATGGGCGTGATAAGGGGTCACGTAGAAAGCTGCCTCTAGGGAAAGGAGAGAGACTAATCATTCTCCATGCTGGTTGCTCCAGCAAAGGCTTTCTCCCAGGCTGCAACTTGGTATTCAGGGCAAAAGTCCACAGATAACAGAGACTACCATTCCAAGATGAATGGTGCGGTTTTCCTCGATTGGGTGAAAAACAAGTTGGTACCAGCTCTACCAGAGAAGTCTTTTATCGTAATGGACAATGCCCCATACCACAGCGTGCAGGACCCCAACAGTAAAGCCCCGACATCGAACAGTCGAAAAGGTGATATGATATCATGGCTCGACAAATTTCAGATCGCACGGCCTTCAAAGGCAACAAATCCTCAGCTATATGAGATCATAAAAACCCACAAAGGTGAACCTTCCTACAAAGTTGACAGTTACACAAAAAGTAAGGGTCACGATATTCTGCGACTTCCACCCTATCACTGTGACCTTAACCCCATTGAAACGATATGGGGTATTGTCAAAGGAGATGTTGCCAGATCAAACACAACTCTTAGATTACGTGACGTAGAGGTTTTGGTTAAGGAATCCCTTAACAAAATCACAACAAACTTGGCAAAACTGTGTCAACAAGGTAGCTACCGTCATTGAACAAGGTTACTGGTGTCGGGATGGCTTACAACAGGCAACTGTGGCACCACTTGTCAACCCTTTAAGTCGTGACTATGACACTAGAACGGACGAGGAACCAACAGGTCTCCCGGAATAGATTTTGAGATGTTCCCCGCCATGACTGTCTGTTCCGTTTCTCTGGTTTCACCCCTCCGCGACAGATAACATTTTGCGTTTTCAATGATGATAGTTTCTTAAACAACTTTTTTGGTGGAGTCCAGAAAATTTTCAAATATAAGAAAGCTGTTGGGTATTAGTAAATGATAAACATGTGTACTATTTATATTTATGTGGCAATTTTGTACAATGATAAAATTTGCAATTCATCGGTCTGTTTCTGACTCAAACGGACTGTAGATGTTAATCAATATATGAGACATATTCAACACACAAGAAAATGCATAGAATGTCTTTGAGATGACCCCTTGTGCCTGTAGGCAGCACATGCATTTCATGCCAAACTATAGGTCGCATTTGGTTCTAAAATCAAAGTATGCCAAAAAATGAATTTATTATTCCCCAAACTACATATTCACATGATTTACTTACTGTACATATAATTTCAAAACATGTGCAGAAATGGTTGAGGAGATGGTAAAAATTACTGGATTTTGGCATCATGGAAAGTATAGATTGCAAGGGTTTCAGAAGAGATCTCGAGTAGGCAAAGTAAATGACCTAAAGTTACAAGAGGAAGGATGATGTTAGCTCAGTTCATCTGAAGGGGACATGCTGGAATATTGCTATAAGCAGCTTACCACCAAACTCACTCACTTAAAGGGACATGGAATCAAGGGGCACTTAAATTTCGTCCCATTTATGTCATGATTTACAGAATATGCCAAGTACATACTTTCCTCCATGTATACAAATTATGTATTACCTGTGCATTTCTGGGTGTAGGTGTACATGGTTCCGGTCTGTTTAGCAATGATGTCGAGGTCAGTGTTTTGGCATTCTCACAGAGATCCTCATTCGCTTTCACAATATGAAAGTCTTCTTTTTGCCATGCTCCTGATAGCAAACACTCTTCTCGTTTACCACACAGATTGGTGCCACTAATCTTTGACCAGTTAAATACAGAGACAGAAATGTTTGTAGATGAAACATGAGATTCTGCTGTGTAATGTGCGACTACATTATCCGTCTGTCCGCTGCCCGCTGGTAGACATGACTCAAAGTGTTCACCATTCAATGTCTGTGAATCAGAACATCTCTCGGGTCGATGATTTTTAATACTTCCTTGCTCTTGAATCTTTCCATTGCAAGGAAAATACCTGAAATAAATATATAAAACCTTTACATTACATTCTGCATATCACAAACAACAAATATGACTGGACCAGAAGAGAGCTAGATGTGTTTCCAAACTCATGTCAAAATAGAAATCGCCCTTTCATTACCATGTACATCCAGTTGAAAACATAAATTGGCACAAACATTAAATATATCATAGATGCACATAAAAATATGCAAGTCTGAATACAGACCTTGACATTTCACTAATTTTTACCCAAACCTGTTTAATCCCCTTGATGCCAGAGGGGCAAATATGTCCCTCCTATTCAACCCTCACTTAGAAATAAAATTAAATTAAAAATATGTCACATAAATACACAGTGTTGAATTCTACAGGAAATTGATTGGTTCTTGATACCATCTGCTATCATTTTATGCAAAGCAAAATTACTGAAACTAACCTTTCAAAATTGGGTACATTGGAAATGTGGCCATTTTTGACATTTTATGAAAGTAGGATACTTATTAGGTTGATTGAATTTCAAAAGTAGCACTTTAGTGTTCACTGATATACATTTTTCAATAAAGACCCAATGATAAATCTGAAACATAACCTCAAACAGAATTTTGGGGTAAACACAATAATCTGATCCTGCCGCTTACAGTTTCAATATTATGTGTTTTGCATACCTTTTAAGTACTTTTGTCCTCAAATTTGGAGATAACCATTCATTTATTTGTTGCATATATTGGCTCAATATATATACTCAGCAGCAAAAAAACCCATCAGTATGAATTCAAAATTGCAGTCCATTCAGACTCGACTTCAGTATTTAGTGTGACCACCACGAGCGGCAATAACTGCAGCACAGGGTCTATGCATGGAGTGCACTAATCGATTGATGAAGGCCATTGGCACCTGGAACCACACTCTGAGAAAGGCCTGGTGCAATAAATCGTCTGTGTTCGGCCTTGGTATGACATTATTCAGTCTCCTTTGAATTTCATCCCAAAGATGTTTGGGTTTAAATCAGGACTAAGGGCTGGCTACTGCATAATGTTGACACCGTTCTGCTGTAGGAAGTCCCGTGTAGCTCTGGCAGTATGGGCCCAGGCGTTGTCATGCTGGAAAATGTTGTTCAGTCTCCTTTAAATTTCATCCCAAAGATGTTTGGGTTTAAATCAGGACTAAGGGCTGGCTACTGCATAATGTTGACACCGTTCTGCTGTAGGAAGTCCTGTGTAGCTCTGGCAGTATGGGCCCAGGCCTTGTCATGCTGGAAAATGTTGTTCTGGTGACGTGCGAAATGTGGTATGACGTGGTGTCTGAGAGCTTGGACGATGTAGCGCACCGCTGTGATGCCGCCTCCTCTCCCTGAACCAAGGTTCTGGACCACCACAGGACTCACTCTCTGGTTCAGGCCTATTCCACCTCATATCAGGATGCTTGCACCTCCCCATGAGTCTCTTTCCATAACACATTGGTCTAACACAACGCTGGCCACGTCGTCGCAGTATTCTTGTTCTGCCATCTGCAGTTGATATGCAGTATCAACTCTCATCTGCGAACAGAACTGTTCTCCATTGCCTGTATCATCAGTTTTGGTGTTGTAGGGCAAACTGTAGACGTTCACGCTGATGACGAGGGGTGAGGATAGGTCCACAGTAATGTCTACGGCAATGGAGGTTCCCGCTGTTAAGACGTCGGCTTACTGTATCAGTACTGATTGGTCTTCCGTGTGTTCCCACTGTCTGGTGTGCTGTTACGGATGCCTGCATGAAGGGATTCTGAACATGCTGTCGCACAGCATGGCGGTCTTGTCTTGTGGTCACCCTTGGTCTGCCAGTACGGGGGCAATCATTTGTGGTGTTGGTGGCCCGGAAACGTTGCTGCAGCCTGTAGATGGTCAGAACGTTGTCCTGGAAGTGATTAGCAAAGACTTGTGCAGTGTGGCCAGCTTCAAGGCTTCCTAGTGCCTGGTTCCTCTGAGCTGTCGTGAGTTGCGGCATCCTGCTGACGTTGTAATGTGAATGTTTCAGCCAGGTTTGGGGGTGCATTTTATAGGGCTGGTCATTGTGAGCAGCACGTGCAGCATGAGTTGCATGAAAAGCATGGAGAACCCTGTACCATCTCCGAGATCAGGTTGCATTTTTGAGACCATTTCCTGGGTTCCATTCTGAGTTTGGGAAGGAATGTCTTTGCTCAGATAAAGTTGGAGATGTTGTCAGAAATATACTATCAAAACATTAAAAGAGTTTACAGTTATCCGTTTCTGCGAAGGAAAATTCCAAACTGACGTTTCTTTTGCTGCTTAGTATATTTAGAATATGCATTGGAAGAGTTTTGTAGCAAGAATTTGGAAATTAAAATAGATACATTACACTGATTTGGTGAAGTAACAGAATTTGTTAAAGATCCCGTTCTGCATGACACCACTAACACAAAATCATGCACAACAACAACGGTTTTATCAGCATTTCTTCCCTACTTCTTTTGGCTACAGTGCAATTGAGACTGTGGTATCGCAAAGAGCGTTACTGCAAGGGATGACTGTAACAAAACACAAATAGTCCCTGAACCAAGAGGTCCCTCGTGAAATCCTGCACTCCAATTTCCGCAAACACGCCATTTTGTTAAAAATAAGTCAGCGTTAGTGGTGTAATACATCAACATTGTTGTACATTTTTGGCAATTACTTTGAGGAGGGGGATGTTTGAAGAAGAGTATAAGATTCAGTATTGTGATTTGACAGGCTAATGAACAGCGAATTAAATTAATCTTCTACAGACAAGTATTCATCCTTCACATCCTTCATTGTGTACTTATGAAGAGAAATAGCCACATAAACAGGACCTTATTTAATGGAAAAATCAAGTATTTTTTCCGAAAAAAAATTGATATTTTATACTTATCCTGACTCATGGTGTTAATGCCCTCCCAACTGTCCCCACTATTTGGCTTATTACCTTTTGGCTTCGAAAAAGGTGAGAGTGACAAGCTACCTGCAGTGGGACGCTGGTGCACAGGCGCGGGAGAGGCCCATTTGGGGTGAGCTATTTTTAAACTGTTCTTGGGAACATAAGACAGAGGTTTCCACTGTATCTCAGGAGAAAGGGGAATAGCAATAAGTATGAGTCAGGATAAGGAAAAATAGTCATTTTTTTTTATGAAGACACATTGCATTAGTTCTTCACCTGTCCAAATCATGTCACCATAAGATGTAAACATTCAATCGCACATTTGATGGGTAAATAAGATGTAATATACACAGGTTGCTTGCTCTCTTATCATGCTGTTTATTATCTAATATTTGTTGTATTTATGTATAAATGTAATGGAACATTATTCACATAAGCTTGTTTACTAATCCATAATCGCTTTTGGTGAATGAAATATGATTCAGATATCCATGGGCCAAGAATACCCTTTATCAAACCTTCTTGTCTTTTGAATATAGAATAGTGAGTGAGTTTTACGCTGCACTCAGCAATATTCCAGCTATGTGACAGCAGTCTGTAAATAATTGAGTCTGGACCAGACAATCCAGTGATCAACAACATAAGCATCGATCTGCACAATTGGGAACAGATGAAATGTGCCAACCAAGTCAACGAGCCTTACCACCCAATCCTGTTAGTCGCCTCTTATGACAAGCACGGGTTACTGAAGATCAATATTCTAACCAGGACCTTTACGGGAATAGAATAAGGCAATATAGTGGAATGATAGATGATACAGCATTTGATATAGATATGGTGTTGGGTTGTTGTTGTCGTTGTGTTGATGTTTACGTCTGCTTCCAACTGTTAGTTGATGTCGCCGACGTGGATGCCATATTTAAAGCCATCAGTGAGGGAATGAGATAAGCCAATTTGGAGTAAGTGGGGATAAGTAAATTATTGAAATATAAAAATAAGTAAATGATAATATGAAACAACAGTAATGATGTAATATATTTACTTTTATGCTTGCTTTTCTTTTTAATCTCACCTTATATAAATATGAACCACGCATATGTTATATATGAAGATGAGATGACCTGTAAATTGTTAATGGAACTTATCAATGTGTTAACGTGAATAGCTATGTCTTGTTTCTGACTTCTTCAAGACGAACATAAACATGAAAACAAGGTTTGGGAAGAAATAGCCTAGCTTGGCCAGAATCTCTCTCTTTTGATATAAGAACAAAAGAACGGTGAAAGAAGTAGCCTTTAAAGTTGATTCAAGGGTGGGGCAAGTTTGGCCTAGGACAAACGTTCCCCGTGGAAGGTTTGGCCAGGGGGAAGGTTTGGCCTGTTACACCGGTTTGGAGAATGTATGAACCACCAACCATTTATTTCTTGTACTTGTATGCATCCTTTTGAAGAAGTCCATGGGTAAATTATCTCTAATGTCAATAATCTTTGTGTTGTAATCAATAGACAAAGTGGTGGTCAAATCCTTAATGCTGTTATATTCATATCATGAAGCACAGTTAACAGTTATACATCATGTAGTTACTATCTTATTATACCTGCTACAAACTTTATTTCTTGGTTTATTCATATCCAGTTTGGATCTGGAGGGTAATGTCTGCACAGCAAATGTGTTCCTCTTGAAAGAGGCTGACTTGTTTTCTCTGCCTCTATCCTTCAAGGGAGATTTAGGTGCAGTAATGACAATAGAAGTACTACTGTCATCTGCTTTTTGGTCCATTGGTCTCACTTCTTCAACTCGAAATTTCTTCTCATTCGGTGCATTGTCATCATACATGCACGCCAACTCCTTGTCAGACTTGAAGTCCATGTTTTCAATCACTGAAAATATAAGTAACAAGACTGATGGGACTCCAACAAATAATTGTCAATACTGTATACATCCAAGTGAATTAATGCTCTGTTCCAACAAACACTACAAAGTCCTATGCACCAAACCCTCAGATGCCAGTGGATGTGTCCCAAAAGGTTGCAATATTGAGCAATAAAAGTAGCGGAAATCTTTTTTGATGAATATGTTATAAAAAGAAGTGCCACCAATGTGAAACGTTGCCGGAGTTTACATATAAAAATGAATAAAACCACTGTAATACATAGTGGAAGATCCCAGTAGCCCATAATTCATTGATATTATCTTATATTATCTTTTTTCATTTTAATTAGAAAAGTGTTTGCAAGAACTTACAAAAACAGACCAAAATTTCAAAACATCTTCAAAAGTCTGCAGATACCACCAATCATTACTAGAGTGAAATTACTATTCCCTTCAGTTACACACTATACTTAATATAATGATTTATCAAAATACATTTTCACTGCACTCAAATTCTATTTAGTTGGGGATACAATTATAATCCAGAATTGGAAATTTTAACTATAAATTGTTTATATACTTATCCTATCTCACGCCTTATACTCTCTTGCTGTAATTTGACCAGCTGATTGGAAACGAACTGCAAACAAAATCCTAGGCCTCTCTTGTCCATATGCTCGTGCACTCCATGCTGTCTCCACTAACTGCTCACGTGACCACCCCTCTCTCATCATCCTCGTTCTTGGAGCAAAGTCGTTATCTGAGTAGTGGGGAGGCCGGGCGGGCATCCATCACGTGTGATAGGATAAGTATATGAATATACAATTTATAGTTTATAACCTTATCCTATTTCACGTTTTGTACTTATCCCACGGTTGGACAGTAACCCTGGGTCTAGACAGTGCAGACAGCCGGTGCAAAGTAACTGTACACAACCGTAGATAGCAATGCACAAGTGAGGCCTGTTACGAATCCCAAGATTACATAACTCTTATGCTTGTGATGGGTTCTCCGGCATCCCTTGGCATGCTAAGCACAAATGCTCATGCTGTTGATCACTGGACTGTCTGGTCCAGACTCGATTATTTTACAGACCGCCGCCATATAGCTGGAATATTGCCGACAGCGGCATAAAACTATATTCACTCACTCACTAAGCACAAACTCCCAGGGAGATGGGCGCTGCCGAGTAATATGGTTTTTGCAACCTTCATGCAAAGACGAAAGGATGTAACTCGACAAGTAAACCTCGCCTCGCCATGATTTACAGAAAGCCTCAGTGAATTAAGATCTTAATCTGGCCAGCCCCTGCTTCGGGACCGCCCCCCACAGACCTCATCAATTAGGGGATGAAAGGGGAAACGACTCGGAAAGCTCATTATTTTAACGTTCAGTTCTGAACGTCATTGAATGACCCTCGCTCCACAGCCTAAACTTAGTCAAGGAAAGGATGTGTCCAGCAACCTTAGGAGCAGAACACCATCAAAATCCACTTGAATTCAGTTAATTCACACTTCCCTGACGTAATCCGAGGAGTAGAGAACAGTAAGCATGAGTGGCTTTCCAGTGGTAATGAATTCCTTCAAACGGTACTTGCGATGCCCCGGATACATAGGAACATGCAGATATGTGTCCTGAAGATTGATGCTGATGAGATAATCCCTCATCTTCAGTATGGTTCGAAGCAGGCTGACTGAGACCATCTTGAAGTGGGGAGGTGGTTGTAGATACTGGGCGTTGAACAGCTTCATACTGAAGATGAGGAGGAACTTGTCCGAATCCTTCTTTGGAACAAGAAAGATTGGGGAGTAAAAGGCAGGAGTGTCGGGTGATGGGCCGAGAGATTCTACTGCATGTTTCTCTAGCCATGTACCTGTGGTAGTTCGGAGAGTTGGTAGTTGGTTTGCCGGATAAGTTCGTCGCACTGGGTCGTAGGTCAGGGGCGGCAATCAGACAAGTGGCATCATGTATCCCTGAGAGAGTCGTGAATTAAACACAAATGGGTCACAGTTGGGAGCAAAGAGTCCCAGTCTTCAGCCTTCTGCAATGTCCAGGATCGGGACGACTGGGGGCGGAAGGTCCCAGTCGTGCGAATAAATCTGACAGTCACTGTCTCCCCCGAACTGGCTTCTGGAGGACGCTTAGAAGAAGCACCACATCCCGACTTCCTTCCTCTGCCATGGCCAGTGTTGGAGCGAAAAATATCCTGCAACTCTGGGTTGGACAGCAGAAACTGAGAAACGGTAACGGTCATCCCATTGTAGCAGTATGTTTGTAAATAGTATATTGTTAGATTTTAATCATCATCATAGTAAACTTATATGAAGTAAATTAATAACCTAAACCTAGCTATTTAAAATTCACTTTTCTTAAATGCTTGTGTTAACTTCAGCACTTGCACAAATCTACTAACTCATAGGTAAGCTTGGATAGTTCAGCCTTTTCATTGTCTATAGGTTCATGGGTATTGTCACTCGGGCAGTCACAGGCTTGGCCTGTGATTAGGGTTTTATTGTTCTCTGGGGCCACATGATTGTTTTAGTCATGTGGAGTGACTGCTTCAAACTATTGCTGGTCAGTCAGCCTATTTCTCCTTTCTGCCAGTGAGCACATTCTCTGCACAAGATCACATAGGGGCTTATCACTGTACATCGATCACTCATTCCAGCCTGCGTCCCTGAGACGAGATCTGGACTTCCATTTATCCAAATAAAGCCCTCGAACCACTACAAGTGCTCCCTTGTTTCTTGAGATGACATGGGTACCGCTGTTACACCATGAAGCATGGTTGCGTGGGCCACTGCGTCTAATATGTAACCAAAGAAGTGAGACAACTGGTCCAGAATAGTATGAAACTGTTCTAAATTCAGGCATATGGATCCCTGAATATAAGCCTCATCGTCAGAAACAGTGTGGTAGACAGCTGCAGCCACTGCAGACAAGATACAGTTGATGCGCCAGTTCCCCAAAACGGGGTGCTGTTCTGCTAGGGGCAGAGGGGGAAAATGTCTTCCTCCAAAGTTGGCGTAACTATGAGTTTAGAGAACCAATGCAAGTGAGCAGTAGTAACAGAAAATATAGGAGCAGAAAAACTCTCCCTGACGCGCTTCAGGTTCTGAAATGCATCATCCGAGAAAGACGCCATCTGCGAGGAAGGAAGGCAATGGTAGACAGGTCCCGAGTCCAAATGGCGTTAAGAGGACGGGAGATCATCCGCACACCTATTCCTGGGTAGTCGCAACTTGTAAACAATCCATGCTAGGATATGGAAAGCTGCCCTCTGAGGTAGAGAGTTCAACAGAATACGCCTGTGAGGGGGTGTGAATGCGCCTAACTGGAGCTGAAGTTGCAGAATGGATGAAGCAGATGCAGGGGGTCGGGCATCCAATGAATCCGTAGGCTGAGACGTAGAATGAAAGGGTGGCTGCTGCATCTGTGTCCAAGTTGTAGAGATGGCCCCGAACCATCATGTCCAATCACAAACAGGTCTTGACGAAGTGATGGGTCCCAAAAGAATAACCGGCCTAACCATAGGCGCTTGAGGGTCTGCAAGATCCAACGAAGTATGAGGAAGCGTCAAATCAGAAGGTTTAGAAGTAGATCTAATGACAGTCGACGAAGACAGAACTGAAACAGGGCGACTGACTGTAGCACTTGGATGATTCGACGAAGCTGTTAAATTCACCGAAAGAGATCGATTCGACGAACAGGGATGGTTCATATTATGCTGCCGATCCGGCGAATGAAAAAGATTCCAGGATTGAGGTCGGTGCAGCGCACTGGAAGTAGCATGAAAGGGAGAGGGACGTTTCGCCGAACTGAGTTGTTAAGCTGGGTTTGAGGCACCAATCTATGGGGCGAACATTGAGAAGGCAAGTCGGAAACACATCACCCCGATTCGATGGATGCTCCAGAGGGGAAGAGCCGTTGGATGCATCTCAATAGCCGCCGAAAGGGCATCCTTCGAAGGTTGATCCAATGAATCCAGTGGCGACAAAGGGGGACGAGACATTGTCAAACTAGTGTGAAGATCTTGATGATTTCTTCTGATTGACCGAATGCTCCACAACCACGACTCGTGAAGCAATGAACTGGACGAAACAGGCGGCGTAGTTTCTCCGAAAGGTACAAATCTGAGTAAACGTTGAGGAACTCCTGGTCTGAAGTAGGCAAGACCAAATGGCGAGCAATCTTTGTAGGTCGCTGTTTCTTAACGGGCAAAGGTCCGTGTTCCTCAGACTGGCTTGCATTGCACACATCTCTTCTCCCAAGATCACAAGCCTTCACAATCTATTCATGATGAATGAGTGTCGGAAGTCGAAAAGATCTTCTTGCATTGACTGCAATACTTGCTTTTTTCTAGAAGAGTTGATCTTCCCCATAATGGGAAAAGAAGTGTGAAGATTATTCCTCAGCTCACAGTATGTCTGCACAGCTGTGCGACAAGAAAGAGAATGATCTGGAAGGGTTAGTCACGTGAGCAGGTATTGGAACGTGCTGCATGCTTCTCAGGAGATACAGTGGCTGTCCAGTAAGGGGAGCAGCATGAAGAGTGCACGGGCATATGGCCTAGGATTTATTTTTATTTTTTTGGCAGTTCGTTTCTAATCAGCTGGTTGAATTACAGCAAGAATGTACAAGACTTGTGATAGGATAAGTTTAAAATTGACTAATGATAAAAATGACTGCTGCTCTAAGCAGGTAAAAACAGTACTTCAGGTTAGAGCAGCAGAAATAAATAAATTCTCATCACTTCACCAGAGCGAACCACTGAGCTTTTGAGTCACCCATGATCTTGTCATGGTGACGTTCCACTGCAGGAGCAGCTGTTTCGGTCCTGTCTTTTTCTTATTTTGGACAGCACTTGTTTAATGACACTTTAAGAAAATATTCAAACAAACCTGTAGAGGTTGCTGATTCTTTGATGAGAATTCTCCTTGGGGTACGTATAAGCATTAAAATGTCCATTTTAAAACCCTACGACAGTTGTTACTATATTCGGAACAAAAGATATACAAAACAAAAAACTACGTTTTTGTCTTGTTTCACCACCCCTACTGAGCCCAGAATGGACCCGTCCACCAAGAACAGGTAACTCTAAGCGCTAACCTTATACCTCACTTTCCACGCTGAACCATGACAGACAGAATGTGGGGAGGTGGCCGTACCCCAAGGAGGACTCTCATCAAAGAATCAGCAACCTCTACAGGTTTGTTCAATCCTTTTTCATGAGAGCTCCTCCTTGGGGTACATATAAGCATAAGACAGACTCCTAAAGACGAGAGTCCTGGGAGTGGCATTCTTAAGACACCTTAAGGCAAAAGATTGGAGCTAATTAGTTAGCTCGAGTCTCAGCTCCTGTGATATTTTTGTGAGAGAGAGAGAGATTAGTCCATCATATTTTGTTGACATATAGTAGACCTATCAAAATGATATATATTTAGAGACTAAGTGTTAGTCTATATATGATCAGTGCCTGAGGGTCATGTAACTAGAAGTGCACATACCTTTCTCAGTAAGGAAGCAAGAGAAATGAGATTCTTTTTCATGAGAGATCCTTTTTGGGGTACATATAAGCATAAGACAGACTCCTAAAGATGAGAGTCCTGAGAGTGGCATTCTGTCGGTAAATATAAGCCCTATACTAGTGGAATTCCACAAACTATAAATAGAATAAGAAGCTCTAACTTACCTGGCCACATGATCTCTTCAGCCAATCGAGCGAGGGTGTGGCCCAGGCTCAAAGGTTACATATCTAGGTGATATGCAAACATTGCACACCTCGAAATACACCCATCCCCATCCCTGCCTTTGTAAACTGACTATGGAAGGAACGACAAAAAAATTCCCATGAAATTCCGACAAAGCGTAGATTAGCAATGGAGAAAATGAGTGCATACGAGCAATATTGCAGGCTGGGAGAACAAGCAAATACCAAAAACCCGACACCAAACAAGGGCAGGGAAGGAGAGTTGTATAACTATCCACCACCAGTAAAAACGCAGATAACAGTAAATCTAAAGCTCAATCGGCTAGAGAATTACAACTCTGCCAACTGGAGAGAACTGACTGACCGAACCGAGCACTCTCAGAGATCGCTGGAGTGTCTGTCAAGTTGATAATGACAAATGAACTTACTCAGCTGGCTCCAAATAGCCGCAGAGCTGATCTCCTCAATAGGCAGAGACGCAGCATAAGCCTTTGATGTGGCTACTGATCTAACCGAATGGGCTTCTAAACCAACAGGAGGTGTTAAACCTTTGCGTGCATAGCTGTATATCCAGAATACAAGAGCAGAACACTGGTATCTGGTTCGTCGCCCCAGAGGCAAACAGATTCACCTGGAACGACCCGTACAACTGGGAGATAATCCCGAATATCCCCCGGTTGAGCATACACTCATGTCGAGCTAGTATACGACGGGAGAGCATGTCTGCCCAAACGTTCTCTACTCCTGGCAGATAGACTGGCATCACCCGTATTTTGTACTGATCGCACCATAGCAGAAACTGCCACGCCTCCTGTAGCAGGGACGCCGATACCGTGGCACCTTGCTTCAGGATATGCCGTTTGGTTGTTCATCGCTAGACGAACCACTTGGCCTTGAACCTGTTCCACAAAGGTCTCAAACACCCGTCAGACTGCTCTTAATTCTAGCACGTGAACTTCCTCGGAATGGTACCACAGCTGAGCCAGTGCCTGCTGTATAGGTCTCATCCTCAGACGCACACTCCCTCTGACCTGGCTAACTTTGCTGGGATCAATATTAGTTTGGTGAACACCCTTGGCACTGTGGAGATGCCGAAGGGGAGCACATGAAACTGGTAGCACTTCCCGTCAAAGTAGAACCGAAGGTACTTCTTGAATTCAGGTTGCATTGGAACATGTAGGTAAGTGTCTTTGAGATCGATTGACGTGAGCCAATCCCGTTTCAACCGAGGAGATCATTGAGCACAATGTCTCCATCCTGAACGACGGCACTTCTGTCATTTTGTTCAGCCCTTTGAGGTTTAGAATGGGTCTGAACCCTCAGTCTTTCTTGGTCACAATGAAATATGTGGAGTACAATCCCGCGCTCTCATGACTTTCCGGAATCACCACCTGCCTTGTCCAGCAACGACTGAATGCACGGAGAATGTCATCCTTCTCCCGGGAGGCTGGCACTGGTGTGTGTCACACTCCGGTGAAGGGCGGTGGACCTCACCTTCGCTGTGGCATATGGCTATCCCTGAGTGTGGACAGGACCCAGGGATTTAAAGTGGCTTTCACCCATTCCGAGAGGAAGAGCGTGAGCCGGGCCTCCGATAGGGACATTTGGCATCAGACAGGGCACTCCCACAGCCGGCAAGTCTCCACTTGCTTGTGCGGGAGGCGGTAATGGCGCCCGGGGGACAGTTAGAGGGTAGCCGGGGCAGGCTTCCCCTTCCCCCAAAAAGGCTGCTGTGAAGGAGCTACCTTACCCTTGCCTCGTGCCCTTCTTAACCTGCAGTAGAGCAGTCCACTTTGCATTTACGTGGAATAAAGAGACTACCAATATCTATATATTCCGTATAAAACACCTACAAGGAAACCTACAAGCTAGCCTGACAGCACGCACATACACGCCTCCCATCCGCCTTCTTGACAAGCACATGGCAAGCCTACAGGGACAGAGACGAAAGTTATAACTAAAAGATGAATGAAAAACTACAAGAAGCTTTATCAATTATCGCCCATGAGGAAAAGAGATAACCATGTACATACAGTAGACACCTCCATAGTACTCATTTCTCAGGGAAAATCAACTGGATAGCTGATGGACAACACACGTCAGTTCATGAGAATGACAGCATGGAAAGTGAGGTACGAGGTTAGCGCTTAGAGTTACCTGTTCTTGGCGGACGGGTCCATTCTGGGCTCAGTAAGGGGTGGTCGAACAAGACAAAAACGTAGTATTTTTGTTTGGTAAATATTTTTTTTCAAAATATATACTAGGCACATAAAGAAACTGTGCATACAAAAATTTAAAATCTTAATTTATCAAACCTGTGTAGACACATAAGAATTTAAACTCAGAGATAAGTGACATGTATCCAACATGCATGCACTTGCCACGTTCTGTGATGTCAGTGGGTTCATCCTTGAGACGTGCAATACGTTGTTGCACGTGCATTCCGGGAGAGAGAAACAGAGCAAATGAATGACACACAATACTGTCACTTTGGAAAGCTTAACCCCTGCCTTTGCGATCGTTAAATAAATTAAACGGCTATTGAAATGCATAGCATGCCAAGGCTCACATCTGCACAACGTCATGATGCCATTGGGATGGCCCGTGGGGGGAACGTCTCAACGACAAGTGGCTGCACATTTCCACTGCCACCGGAACACCATTTCTGCACTGGTGAGACACTACCAGAACACAAATGACGTCATCGATCGGCCACGTTCTGGACATCCACATGTAACAACGCCAAGACAGGACAGTTGGATAAGGGTGACCCATCTTCGCCACAGGTTTCAGACTGCAGTGATAACTGCCCGAACCATCCCAGGACTTCGCCGTATCCACCCCAACACAGTTCGACAACGTTTACGTCATCACGGGATCAGACCACAACGTCCCGCCATACGGCCTATCCTGACACAACGTCATCGACAAGCTCGCCGAATGTGGTGCCGAAATCATGTCCGCAGACTCTCGTTTTGGTGGAGAAATGTTGTTTTTACAGATGAGTCCAGGTTTAACATTTCCCAAAGTGATGGACGTCAACGTGCCTACAGATGCGTGGGAGAACGTTATGCACAGGCCTGTGTCTTGGAGAGGAATCGCTTTAGTGGTGGTTCCGTGATGATTTGGGTCCATTGGTGATTGTTCAGGGCAACTTAACTGGTGTGGGCTACAGGGATCAGATTCTTCGACCTGTGGCAATTCCTTTTCTGCAACGTCATGGCCCTGGGTTAACATTCCAACACGACAATACCCGCCCTCTTATACGGCAAGGGTTGCTATGGATTTCTTGCAACACCACAACGTTGACTTACTGCATTGGCCTGCAAATTCACCGGATCTCTCCCCGATAGAGCATGTTTGGGACGAAATGGATCAACGTCTACACCGTCTTCCTCATCCGCCAGATAACGTCCTTGACCTTGCAACAGAACTTGAGAGAATCTGGCGTGACATCCCACAAGCCTTCCTTGCACGTTTGATATGCTCTATGCGTCGTTGATGCACTGCTGTTCTCAATGCCGATGGTGGACATACCCGTTATTGAGCTTGTGACATGGTTGTTTGACCCCTGTCCCGCTTGTTGACTCATGACGTCATTGTGATTGACTTTTCAATTGAAATTCTCCCAACTTGTTATGGTCTCATGATCCCTCCATTAAAGTTTATATGTACCTTTGACATTGTTATCGTACTTATCAACTGGGATAATATTTTGACAATGCACAGTTTCTTTATGTGGCTAGTTTAGTTACAACTGCCGTAGGGTTTTAAAAGGGACATTTAAATGCTTATATGTACCCCAAGGAGGTTCTCTCATGAAAAAGAATCTCATTTCTGCAGGTATGTTTACTTCTAGTTAAATGACCCTCAGGCACTGATCATATATAGACTAACAATAGTCTCTAAATATATATCATTTTGATAGGTCTACTATATGTCAACAAAATATGATGGACTAATCTCTCTCTCTCTCTCTCAAAAATATCACAGGAGCTGAGACTCGAGCTAACTAATTAGCTCCGATCTTTTGCCTTAAGGTGTCTGTGAAAGTTGAGAGATAATAACAAATAGTCTGTGGATGGAAGAAAAATAGGCCTGGCAAGCTAAATATTTTGCTTTGTGCAACCATAAAACCCCAGATAGATTGCTTTATAATAATTTAATGAATACTAGAATCATGGCAAGGTCGGCACAAACACCCATACAGTACCCTTTCTTTCCATGCTGGTACCTTCTCTCTTCCTCTTGCAGTTTGCTTTCTTTATGACCAATTCATCTTTCCATGCATGGCCCTTTTTCTGATCAGTGGTTGCCTGGTTAACACCAGATGCAGTAGTATCTAATTGAACATCGTAACTCTTGTTCCAGATGTGGGTTGTTTGGATTTTAATCTGGCACTTGCTTTGCTACAACAAAAATACAGACCAACCTTCAATGTGATGTAGCATGAGAAATATATGCAAATAGTAATACACAAGTTAGCTCATTTAAAGTGCTTGAAATCTGAAATTGTCACAATATTGCTCAACTTACCTCTATATTTTCACACATTCACCTGGGTTGGTTGAGTGGACAAAGAAAAGTTCTGTTTGCTCAAGGTGTTCACTATACATACACACAAGTTTTGTCTTACTTGGGTATCTTGTGTCTTAGACACATACAGTGAGTGAGTGAGTTTGGTATATCAGAGTTTGGTTCGTTTCTAATTTTTCAGTCACATCTTTATTTGCACAATCTGTGAAAAGTACTGGAAGATGTTTTGAGGTTGTACTTACCACAGATCATTGTCTTTACTGCAAAAACATGTCTGTAGTTTTGGACTTCTTATTTATTGCACAGAGCGATGTAAGAATCTACATCAAAACGTCGCTCTATGCAATAAATAAGAAGTTGTCATCCATAAAGTTGTATGTTTCATTTTTGAGTCACCAACTTCTAGAATGCCCATCAAACAATTCGTCCATCATTGTCTCTTTGCGCCGGTTTTACTGTCTGAATAAACAGGCACACCGTACAAACTGGTGGCATGACTGAACATAACTCGGATACAATGTACCACTAATATTGTTGTACAGATAAACAGGCACACCGTACAAACTGGTGGCATGACTGAACATAACTCGGATACAATGTACCACTAATATTGTTGTACAGATAAACAGGCACACCGTACAAACTGGTGGCATGACTGAACATAACTCGGATACAATGTACCACTAATATTGTTGTACAGATAAACAGGCACACCGTACAAACTGGTGACATGACTGAACATAACTCGGATACAATGTACCACTAATATTGTTGTACAGATAAACAAGCCGTTAACATGAAAGCATTGTTTTAGTACTGAAATTAACGCAACTTTGTGTGGTGGTCTATTATGGTAGAGGGAGTATCACCTCGGCAATCAGGTATTAGCAAGGTAACATGTCTGAGCTACGTTCCTCGGTCTCACTTCATCAATCATAACCTTTATCAACATTGGAGTCTTTCTTTATCCTTAAAAACAAGAACTGATCTGTGTCTGACTTGATAAACAGCAATATAGATACTTCTGTTGACATTTTCATACTGCCTCTAAATTGATGCAGAATTCTAGGACTACAGGAGATACTTCAGATTGTAAATTGTATGATTCAGAATGTCTCCATAGTAAGCTGGAGGTGAGCACTGGTAGAGAAACTGTGAAAGTCCAGCTTCTTTGATAACACTAAAGCAGTTTCGTAATGGATACAAGTCAATCACTAGATATAACAAGTGTTTACCACTAATATGGCAATATCCCCCGCCGCTAAAGAAGATTGAAAGATTTATAACATATTTACTACTTTTTAATTTTTGGTCACATACAAGATGCCTGAAATGACTGGTGTCACCCACTGTAGGCTGCTGATCGAGAAGGTGAGCTCCCCACCCGTGTTGAGAGGCATCTACGAACAGATGATGAGCTGGAACAAACGGCCTTAAAGAGACTCCGCCACAAACATTCAACTCATCCAACCACCAATGGAGATGGGGATGGAGCGCTGGAGAAAGAGAGATCAATGCACGAGGGTCGCCAATCTTGATGTGCAGACACAAAAAATATTGGAGGGGCCGTAGTTAAAGCTATCCAATGAGAGTCAAAGCTTGAGCTGACGTCAACAGACCCAGAAGTTCTTGCCACTGACGAAGAGACCTGAGTTGCGAGAGCGCTAGGGGTACCATAGAAACTCCAGCGCAGACATTCAGTTCGTCGAGCCACCACTGAAGGACTGGACTAAGCGGTTCTGGAAGGCGACTCAATTCCTTCGGGTTCAGTTGACGGCCTCGAGATACAGGCATAGAAATCACTGTACCGGCCGAAGCTGGAAATGGCCCCGGTACGTTGGAGCTGACGTCAGAATTCCTAGCAACTATTGCCACTGAAGAAGGGATCTCTCCTGAGATAGGATACATTCGATTAGCCAAGCTACCATGACAGTACTGAAGAAGTGCTGAATGTAGGAGGTTCGTGGCATGGAGACGGTCAGTCAATCTACAGGAACGTTCACATTGTAAACATAGTGATGCAGGCCGTATAATCAGTGATCGCAGGAACGTATGGTTCACCAAATGAAGTGTTGGTCTGCCAGATGGAGTGAAAGTTAGTAGATGCGATGGAATGGTGGAGGTAAAAAGACCAGTGACCCCAGGAACATTTGTAAGGATTGTTTGTAGTAAAATCGATGCCTGCGGACAGTCCGGACATGGCTGCAGTGACCTCTGAACTGAGGGCTTAAGCTAGGAACCGAGTAACCCTATCCAAAGTGAAGGCATTCTCGGGGCGATTCTGTCTGACACCCTTGGTAAACTGTTTCTCTCGGCTGGCTAACAAATCTCGACATAATCACTCTTACCGAGAATGGCACCGTTCATCATCACTAGCAATTAAAGGCTGGGATAGATATCCACTTCGTGGGACCAAGACAAGTCTGTCAGGGAACTTCATAGTCACTCTAGTCATCAAAAGTCTCCGGTAAACAAACAATAGTCCGCCATTGCAAATGCAATAGTGACAAAATCCGGACAACACGGTCTTTGGTTAACCAGACGAGTCCCAACCCATAAAATCCGGGCAAAGGGACGCTAGCTACTTGACAAAACATCACTGTTGGTACCACACGCAGAAACTTGACATATCTGTCCAGAAACTTGCTGATGATGTAATAGGAAGGGTGATGAGGATGACGAAACAGGCCACGATTACACCAGGTGATACATCATAACACTGCTATGAGTAGTCTGTAGTAACAGAACTCAGTGAAGCGTCGTAAAATATTCCTGAATATCAAGCTGGTCTAGTAATGCAGAACCGGGTGGTTGTAGAGCTGATATCTTTGTCGAAGGGTAGATTCGTTGAATCAAATCATTCATCAAAGGTGAAGATCGGAAGGTAGATGACGGAGGAATCTTGAAGATCCGGGATCGTCAATCACCGCCGTAATATAGAGGCCTGCGCTACTGACATAACTACTACCTCTGTACAACCAGCAGAAACGAAGCACTTACTGGATGTGCTGCACTGGGTGGAAGCGTGAATATTATTGGAGTAAAGCGGTGCTCTGGATACGAGCAGCGTACTAATAGATAACATGGGATAGAAGCGGCGCATTGGTGTGGAGAGACGAGCCAATCAAAACCCAAGGTGCGCTCTGAAGCGCCGACTGAATGAAAGTGCCACAAAGGAGTGAACGCTCTGTCCTTACATAGACACCACAGAAGCAGGAAGCGTAACCCCAAAGCGAAGCTGAGCACCGGTAGAAACTGTAGAAATGAGGTATCAACGCCGAAGTTGGAAGAATTGTTGTTTGCGAACTAGCAAACAAAGTCATGTTGACAATAGGCGCATAGAGGTAATCAGATGATTCGGCGAACACTGTCTGATCGGCGAATACTGTTGGAGGGGCGATCTGGTATGGTTCGGTGACCAGGATCGGTTCTGAGATCTATGTTTGTTCGACGATCTGGATCGGAAAGGTGATCTGTTTCAGTACTGTGATCAAGTGATCTCCTTCGGCTGATTTTAAGCGCTGAGTCAATCGGGACCGGTGCACTGTAAAACACTGTACCATACAGTAATGGTGTACTGGACTGAAAAGTTGTTCCAATCGAAAAAACAGTCACTAGGTTGAATCGTTGTTCCAATAGGAAACAGAGCACTGGTCTGAAGCGTTGATCCAATCGAAAAGGCACACTGGGCTGAAGTGTTGATCCAATCGAAAGCTGCTAACTGGGCTAATGAGTTGGACCGAACGAGAGCGGTGAACTGAAGTGAAACGGTGCACTGTCCTCTTCTTCCCTATGTGAGAGCGATGCACTGTTACAAAATGCCGGACCAAACTGAAATGGCGCTTTGGCCTGCAGTGACGAACCAAACAGAAGCGTACTGCAGTAGAACCACTCTTGAGCGTCGAATTCTGCGAGAGAGACGCACTGGAGTGAACACTCCACCAATATACATAATCGGTGCATTAGAGCGTAAACACCGAATGGAAGCGGTGCACCAGACGGAAAACGCAGAACTAACAGGCATTGTTGAACTTGATATTATCACTGGAGTTGGAGGGATCGCTGTAGATATGCTCGCACTACAATAAATAATTGTAGGTAAGTTAATTGCCGATCCAGAGAAATACAAACACATTGCCAGAAGACGCTGACAATGCCGTATCAGGTGTTTGAGAAAAAGTCACTAGAAGTATGAAGTTCACTACCCTAGTGGAGAAGTCATCCTGTCCCGATCCTGGACTTGAAGTCTGGGGTCGGAATAACCAACGTAATTCTCGCTGAGGTAGGAATCCGATGCTGCATCGAAAAATCCGCGTCCGGTGATGGTGATAAATGGCGAGCTGTTTGGTACGGACGATCTCGCTTCGAATGTTGAGATGAGGATTGACCCTCGGAAAGACGATCCCTGTCTGCCACTCGTCTTGTGCCCATTCCACGATAACGGAGAACACTTCATCGTCCAAATTGGCACAATAAGAGAAACAGTGAAAGAGAATGACAGTAATGGGATGTCACATGATCATCTGAGCGATCTGCATGCTTATAGAGATGATTGACGGGTCATGCTATCGGAGTGGGGGCAGAGGTCAGGTAGGACAGAGGCCGAAAGATTTGATTCAACTTAGCCTACAGCACGTTTCCACATATTAGTCGAAGAAGAGAGAGGTGCATACCGTGAGATAGGATACGTTTAAAAATATGTAAGACTAAATATTTCAATAGGCCTTTGCAGAAATGTAATGAAATAAAATAAATGTGAATATGTTGTTAAAATGTTCCTGTACTGTACACTCACGTCTTTTGGCTTGTGGCCTACCATACAATAAACATTTGATGTGTATTGTTTGTTCTCCCACCAAATACATATCAAGATTTTTAAACCTGACAAATGACTGATAAACTTTCAATAGCTTTTGAAAGGATATTTCCTTTCCTGTATACTGTTTTTCTCACCTGGATTGTTCGTGGATCAAATTCTCCAATTCTCTGTCCAGTGGTTGTGTCTATGTTACCCAGGGCAATCTGGAAAGCTTGATCATCACCCATAATCCTTCAGTATTAAGGTAAACTTTGAATAAGTGAATGAGTGTGTTGGAAATATCAGGGCAGTTCAAAGAAGAATAGTCATATTATCTGACCTCAGCACTACTGTCTTGTCGGGTTTATTTAGACTGCTATTAAAAGAATATCTGATGCAAATTCATTCAAATTCCTGTTTTAAATAACCTGCTTTGTTAGCTTTGAATATACAGAATCTATCCTTTTATGAAAGAGCTTGGATCTGAATTGATGACTTTGTTAATAGTGTTTTGTATCATTACTTATGATTTCATTTAGTGGATGTAATTTTCTGATATAAAATTGATATTTTATACTTATCCTGACTCATGCTTATTGCTTGTCTCCCTTTCCTTCCGAATGCTAGTGGAACACTTGAATCCCCCTTTGAAGCTCCCTTCAAAAAGCGGACGAATGCAAAAATCACTTACCAGGAGTCACCTCCCCCTTCCGAATGCTAGGTTTTGAAGTGGGGAAAGCAGCCACCTGTCTCCCATGCTCTTCACTCTCTCCGTATTTTATAGCCCGACACACTGATTTACTGGGAAATCCAGAGTGCCTTGAGGGGAGGTTGGGAGGGCTTACCTCATGAGTCAGGATAAGTATAAAATATCAATTTTATTCAGAAAATTACATATTTTTCCTTATCCTGACTCATGCTTATTGCTTGTAGAATCCGACGGTATAGGTGGTGGGTCAAGCCACCTCTGGATTCCTTAGTGATGAATTTACATCCTATATACCCCCATGGGAACTTTAAATGGCACTGCTGCTGTTGATCCATATGTCGAAATAATTTGGTAATTTGGGGGACCACAATATATCAAACTCTTCTGTAACCGTACATGTGGATTTAAATAACTCCAACTCTTAATGTTCGTATCAAGTGGAGTAGTGACCCTATCCGTGTACAAGTAATTCCTTACAAGTACAGGGTCCAATATTCATGCTAGTCTGTTCTAGACGTGTACATGGACTATAAGCTCTATTCCTTGGAGTACGAGCTTTGCATGACATGTGTAAAAGGGCGAGATACACCTCAGCGCCTTTGAGGGACCGTCAGTTGTTGAGCTACAACCAGAGGTCCAAACTGGTGGATACCGGAGACGTCCTCGGTAGCAATGTCTCTGAGGTAGTGGTTAGCAAATACTGTCTCCGATTTCCAAAAACACCCTTCCATGATCGTGGATATTGAGCAGTTTCCATGTAGAGCAAGTGTAGATGCCAGTGCTCTAACTTTGTGCGGATTGGAGGCTCGAGGAGGCTCAAGTCCTGCTGCCTTGTAGGCTCGTAGTATGATTGCTCTCATCCAAACTGATATCGTAGTGCGTGAGATCTCTGTGGGTGTCTCCGACGATATGGGGATGAAAAGGCGTTTGAATTTTCGTCTCCTGGTTTTAGACTTTTGTAGATATATTTTCAGCTCTGACTGGACATAAGGATAAATCTTGTATATCCTGTGGACCAAGGATTGTAGATAATGCTGGGATGTGGAATTGTCTGTCCGGTTGACCTGGCAGTTGATTCTTAGCTATGAAATCCCACCTCAATCCTAGATGAACCATGTTGTGACGTGTGTCAAAACGTATCCGTTCAAAGTCCAGCGCATGTATTTCTGACATCCGCGCCGCTGTTGCCAAGGCGATCAGAAATAGCGTTTTCTGTGTAAGAAATTCATAAGAAGTTCTTTCTAGTGGTTCGTACACATCACTGGTGAGATGTCGTAACACCACATTGAGATCCCAAGCCGGCGCTTTAAATTTCCTTTGTTGGTCTTCCAGTTTTAAAGAGCGTAGCAAGGCCAGTAACTCTGGCACTTTCGTCAGTTTCACGCCTGTCTTCATAGTGATAACTGAGCTGAGAGCCGCTAGGTATGTAGATAATGTCGAACCTTTTAATTTCCTCATTTGTCAGAGATGACAAAGATATTCCACCACTTGAGGATGTGTTGCTTTCACTGCAGTGAAACCTTTCCTCGATGCATATTTCTCAAAGCTTTGCCACTTGTCGTCATACAAGTTACGAGTAGATCTGCGTAAAGCTAGTGTAACTGCTTTCGCTGCTCTGGCGGAGTATCCTCTTTTCGACAAGCAATTCGTGATACGTTCCATACGTGTAGGTGGAATAATCTGGGATACTTGTGAACTTGCTTGGTGTGAGGATGAATTAGTAGGTTCGACCAAACTGGAAGTTGTATTGTTGGTTTTCCGATTTCTTGTAAGAGAACGGGAAGCCACATTCTTGCTGGCCAGTAAAGCGCGACCAAAATCAGTTGTAGATTGTTTGTCTGCCTGATTTTCTGTAATACCTGTGGTATTAACGCTGGCGGAGGGAACGCATACGCGTTTAGTCCTTCCCATGGGATGCTTAGAGCGTCTGTCGCCCATGCTTGAGGATCGGGAATTGGAGAGACGAATGTTGCCAGTTGATTGTTGAATCTTGTGGCGAATAGGTCTACGAGTGGAGATCCTATCGTCTGTATGATGCATCTGAACGCTTGTGGATGTAACATCCATTCTGTTGGGGATGGTTGATGTGGTCGAGATAGCGCATCTGCTATTACATTCCTGGCTCCCGGAATGTGACATGCTTTCACATAAATGTTGAGATTGTCTATTATGTTGAATAGTTGAAAGCTGAGGTCTAGAAGATTCCAAGATCTTGTTGATCCTTGTTTGTTTATGTAGAACGCCACTGTTGAGTTGTCCGTATGGATCATCAATTTTGCGTTTCTTAGTATGTTGGACCAATGTAGTAGGGCATTTACTACTGCTTTCATCTCGAGCATGTTGATATGCAGATTCATTTCTTGTTTCGACCATTTCCGGCAGCCACTTCGTTGTCGAGGTGTGCTCCCCATCCTTGCAGTGATGCATCTACGTAGAGGTGGACGTTGCACTCCGGCTCTATTAAGTAATTTCCGCCGCAAACATTCGACTTCTGAGTCCACCATAGTAGATATGGTTTTAGCCTGTCTGGTATTTCAAAGGGATCCAGACTGTGTAAGTGGGCGTTCACAAATCTCTGTAGTGGACGCAGTTGTAGTCTCCCTCTGTGCGTCATGTCTTGAGCTGACGTGAGGAGACCTAATAGGCTCTGCCATTCTCGTAGTGGTAACGGAGAGAGTAGAACTTGAGATACCATGACTTGTATCTAGACCCAACGATCCTCTGAGACGACCTTGTCATTCTGTGGTGAGATGAAACATCTTCCCAGAATCTGCTCATGTTCTATGTTGTAAGTAAGTAGACAGTGGAACCCTTGCCATGTCCGTAAAGGAAGCGAAGCAACGTCCGGATCTGGGACTGCCATCGTTGTGAAGTCTATATATAGTAGACTGGCTGCCGCGAGCAAAATTCGTCAAACGTATGTTGTTGCAATTCGCCGGATAAACAGTCTTCAATCTGCTGACAGGGAAGGTCTCTAAATCCCGTAAGACAGTCAAATCACGCTGTATCCTGCTAACTGGACTGTAAATGAAGTCCTCCTCCCACGTTGAAATGTTGTTTACAATCTGTAGACAACTTCCTGACATGTGAGCGATGTCCGACTTCTGCGCAGGGCGTTGTCTCTCATGGACCAATCAAAATGCAGTATTTTGATTCCTTTCAGATTCCCGCGATGTGACATCACCGGTGTTGCCGGAAAAAGATCCTTGTAGAATCTTGTGCAGTCGTTGATTTCTTCATCAACACTCGGCCTTGTCCGTAACCTCCCGAAGTTACACAAGTGACCACGTGTATAGAGGGCTGAATGGTAAACGCGCGAAAGATTTCGCCGCGTAATACCGATGTAGGTAGACTGACTCCCTGGCTGCTGTGACTGTTCCTTCATTCCTGAAGATAATGCAGTCGTCATCTTATACAGATGATCAGCAGAAATTCCATACTTGCTTAACGCTGTTACTTGTAGACTGTATTCATCGGTCTCAATGAAGCGTCTTAAAATACCCCCTTTGTGTTGAATACACAAAGGTGTTTGTAGAGTTGATACTTGCAACTTCAGTGTAAGATCTACAACGGGAGTCGTTGATGATCTTGCAGTTCACATCAATCTCTGGAGCCTTCATGAAGGGTTCTGTGTGAAGTAGTGGGAAATCCCTGGCTTGGACGTCGGGGATATGTTGACTGTGGAACTTCATAGCCTTACCAAGGCTGCGCTGAAATTCTCCGGTAGTATCTATCAAGTCGATAGCTCTGAACCGCGACGACTTGACTGCCTGAAGATCTGCCTGTAGGTGAATGATCTGTATATGGACATGAGTCCCTCCTGGATTCTTAAGAAACATCTTTAACCTTCATGAATGTGTAGGTTCTAAGCGTTGAGGAGAGTTTTTGTGCAGTTAATCCCGCTACCCTCTTCTGATGTAGATATATCTTTTTTGACGACCCTGAATCCTTTCTGGAGATCAGTCTGAAGATCTGCCTGAAGACCTGCCTGAAGATCTGCATGATCGAGATGAGGGTCTCGTTGATAGCTCTTGACCTGGCTAGGCCGAAGAAGGTTCGTCTGGTTACTGTGTCTAACTGTGAGACAGGGTCGATAGGTGGAATCGTGAGTGTGTCTATATCATCATTCAACATCAAGTACGAGAGTGCTTCATTGGCCTCCTTAGAGGGTGATGCGAGTTCCAAACCGTTGGCCATCCATGACTTGATTTCAGAGTCGGAAAAAAATAAAAATAAAAATAATTCTGCCGTCATCTTCCGATTTAGCAGTATCATGCTCTGAGAATTGATGTCTCCTAGTGTCTGGAGATCTGTAAGGCGATCTGTATGAAGATCTATGTGATGATCTGCGTGGTGATCTGTATGGAGACCTGCGTGGTGAGCTTCGTGGCAAACCATACGTTCGCGTGAACCTGCGTTGTAGGTGAACAGCTCTGTCGAGGGTTGGAGTCTTGTGACAAATCTCTGTGGGTGTAGATTCTCTTCTCCTTGGTAACAAACCCTTGCGTGCTGGTTCGTGACGAATGTCCGCATCTGAGGTA